TAATGGGGCAGATGTTGAAAATAATAAAAAAATCCAGGAAGAAAAGTGAAACGGATTTTATTCTAAATGGCGCAAATGAGAAATTTTTTTCAAAATGCGAGAAATTCGCGAATTTTGAAATTGGTTTATAGAATGCGCGAATTTCTCGCGGTACTCATTTTTTAATGCGAGAATATAAAAAAATATGCGAGATTCTCGCGTTCTCGCGCTGTAGTGAAAACACTGGACCTAGGTTAAAAATGGATGTTTTCCTTCATAGCAGCATGATTAATCGGAAGTAGCTCTATCTCTAATGATGAAACATTTTATTATTTACTTATTAATGTTAAAGTCATATCAGTTGTACCCAATAATTAATGAATTAGTCTTCATCGACATTTTATATTTTATAACATAAAATGTCTCCTCCATTGACTATTACATCTCCTCCAGAATTTAAAATATTTTAAATCTTGTAAAAAATAAAATAGAAAACTTGACCATTATTATAAGGACATATAACAAAAATAAATAAAGGCATTTATGTAATTTTTATCACTTTTTTAATTACTTTAATTTAAGAAATTTTTTTAGTCTATTTATACCTTTTCAGTGANACTATTACATCTCCTCCGTGGACAAGGCAAAATTTAAAATATTTTAAATCTTGTAAAAAATAAAATAGAAAACTTGACCATTATTATAAGGACGTATAACAAAAATAAATAAAGGCATTTATGCAAGTTTCATCACTTTTTTAATTACTTTAATTTAAGAAATTTTTTTAGTCTATTTATACCTTTTCAGTGAGAATGACCCTTATTCTGAAAATGGCTCAAAACGTCAATATGGTGAAAAGCCACAGTTTTGTGAAAATGAAGTGTTGGTGGAATATTTTTTTAATATTTAAAAATTTTCTCCAATGCTGCATTATCTGGACTTATAAAAACTTGCAAAAATTGAGAATAAGGCAGTGATTTGGATGATTTTCTTCTAGATGGAAAAATATCGATTTTTTAAAAAAAAAGTTTAATAGTTTTTAAAATATTTAAGGCTATTACTATTAAACGAACAAAAATCAGTAAAAAAACTAATATACAAAGAAACATATATATATAAGAATACATAATAATATAATAGAAAAGTTTTAAAAAAAACATTAATTGAAACTTAATTTCTTATTTTAAGACATGACTCCTTCGGTGAATAATTTTAAAAATTAAATTACTTCACACCACAAGATACATCTAAGAGTACTTTGGAAGGATAAAGAATGAAAAACATTCACTAAAAGTAAGATTAAGAAAAAAAGAAACACATCTGCAAAAATTAATAAACCTTAAATCAAAAGAAGGTGATGAAATAGGGACTAGGATAAAAATAAGATTCTTCTACAATAACAAAATTATTTATTATTTTATAATATTTACAAATGAATATCAGGACACTTTGAATTCAAGAAGAAACATCTAAACTGAAAGAATTGGAAGCAGGTAGTACATGAACTTGCATAGCTCTACTCCAACTGTACACTTGACCTGTATCAAAAGGTTCTAGACGAGCAGCTTTATGATTACTCTCCTTTGATGGAGTTGATTTTGAAGGAAGGGACTTAGTAGGTGTAGACTCTGGAAGAAAAAAAAATGAAGAATAATTTTCAAAAGGCTGTTTTTCCTAATTCAATACAGTGGTCTCAAAGACTCATATTCATTATCTTTTACTACAAAATACTGAAGGTATTTTTATCAGTATCAAATTTACTAAATACAATAGAATCAAGTTTGATTTGTTTTCAATGAAAGCAATAAGTCTTGAGAGAAAAGACTTTTTTTTTCCTAAAACATTAATGATTGATTCTGAGAAAGCAAACATTTCTAAAATAATTTATGCATATAAGAAATAGTAAGTAATTGTTGGGTTGTTTCCAACCACCTTGAGGTTGTTGCCAATTCTCCTCACACCCTGTTTTCTTTTCTCCATTTTTATTTTCTTGTTCAAACATGCTCCTCTTCCCTATTAGTTAAACTATTTTACATGTGTCTTTTTTTCTCTACCATCATTTGGTGTTTAGACACTGAGGAAGGTTCTTGTTTGTGGAACTGAAACTATACTATACAACTAATAACTCGAACACTTATGTAAGAAATATCGAAATTAAAATTTAAAAAATTAAAATTTTGCCAAAAAATCTGTTTTTAATCCTGAAGCTCCTCTTATTCTTAAATAAAGAAGCTAAGATACGTGTCAACAACAACTGCTACAAAAATTTGTCAAAAGAGAATAGGAAGTAGCTGTATTAAGCCTAATTTTGTTAATTTATAATTTTCTTTCATATTATTTTCAGAATAACTTCATACCTTTGGTTGAGGGCTTCTTTTGTTCCGCAGGAATGTACTTAGATAAACGAACATTTGGCAATGGAAGAAATCCTGAAATCAAAGGCATGACATCCAAAATAACAGCATGTTTTCCAGATTCATCAATATTTACTACACCTAAAAGAAAATTTAACAAAATAAATTATGTTAATAATAAGAAAGTTAAATCCATAATTAAATAAGGTTTTCCTATAAAATCCCCTAGAGAAATTTCATGTAAGTTCTCTTTTTAGTTTTTAGCTTTCTTTAAACATATTTGCTTAAAAAAATTAACATTAAAAACACTTATCAACAATTACCCAAAATTATTAACCATACACATAACTCATATTTTCATATTTAACATTACTTCTTTTGAAGATCAATTTTAAGTTCAATGGAGAACACTGCACAATCCCCTTTAATTTTCAACTTTTTAAAACTTACTTATTTTTTTTAAAAAATTACTTTAAAAAACACTTCTTCAACAAAAATTATTAATTATACACATAATGCTAAGTTGTGTTATAAAATTACACATTGCCTTACTTTAATTCATCAATATTTGCAACACCTAAGAGAAAATTTAACACAACAAACTAATAACTATAAATCCATAATTAAATTAATAAGGTGCTCCAATAAAATACCCCTCAGAAATTTGACTGTATGTTCTCCTTTTAGTTTTCAGCTTTCTTAAACATATTTGTTTTAAAAAATTAACATTAAAAAAACTTAATACACTACAATTATTAGCTTAGACATACTTAAAACTCATATTTTCAAGAAAGACCAATTAAGTCCTACGAGATCAATTAAAGCAGTGTACTGCGATGGAATGGAGAATACTGCCTATTCCTGTTTAATTTTCAATTTTTTTAAACATATTTATTTTGATAAAAATTACTTTTAAAAATACTTCTCTAACATTATGCTACAGTTATTAATTATACGCATAATGCTAAACTGCATTATAAAATTACATACTGAATTCATGAATAATTTCAGTTTAAATTTTTTATAATAAGTAAACACTCTGACAACTGAAATAAAAATTAGCGTGATAAATTTTTGTATTAATTAACTATAATACTTTTGAATTAAATTATAATTTTAATCTATATTAACTATATAACAATATTTGATACTCACCAGCAGTTCTTCCACAAACAGCCCACATGGTTTGATCCGCTACAACTTCATACATTAAAGAAGTATAGTCAGAATTATTAATCTTGCAAATAGCAACATGCATGAAACACATAATTCCTACTCTACAAAATTCAGATCCCTTTGGTGGTTCAACTCTTGCACGAACACCATACAAAGTCTGCAATCAAAAAGTAGTTAAATTAATTACAAATTAGAGAAATGTTGATTGTGTAGCATAAAGTATATATAATGTTATATTATTATCCTAATATCCTATAAAGTTATATTAATATTTTACAGTAATTTAATAAAAGTTAACACCGTGTAAACATTAACATATAATAAATTTTAACATAATAAAATTTCAAAAAAATAAAAAAATTCAATGCATATTTTGATAATTTATCCTTATTTTGATAATGTATCAAAATATTGAATTGATTTTCGTAAACTTGTAAGATTTGCTGCATAATACGTCGAGCATGATGCAGGACAGGACATGCTGTGACATGTATGATCATGTGAACTTGTGCATTCATTTAATTAATGGATTTGCTCACTCTTATCAAAATCTTTTAGTAAAACACCTAATATTTCATGCAAATAATTACACATTTATAATATTTCATACAAATAATTGATTCAATTATGTAATGTAAGAAAAAGAATTAATGATACTTTCAATATAAATAATTGAAATTGCACCTTATTTGGCTGCAATAATTTTTAATGAAGGTAGAAAGAAGCTAAGAAGGTTTGACAGTTCTAAAAAATGCTCAAAAAATGCTCAAAATAAAGATGACCATAGAATTTCAGTTGCTACTCTAAAAAGAAATGAGGTGTCCCATGACCTTAGATCGACATGAAATAGCATTTGAGACTAAAATTGAGACAGAGAAGAAGATGTTATAGACATGGTAATGATGCATTATAGTTAGTAGCAAAATTAATACATTTTTATGAATTATTGATCACAAAACTTTAAATGTTATTAAATAGAAACTATGTTTCTCTTACTTGCTGTAACTCTAACTAGCACAAATTTCAACCATTTTACTTCAAATTTAAAATACAATATTAAAGTTTACAATAAATATAGTTTTTGTTACACATAGAGTATTTTTTTTATTGGGTTGACTGGTTTGGAGTAATCCATAAAAATGTAACTTATTTTATGAAATTTTTTAATTTTTTTTTTAAAAAATAATAATTTTTTTAAACTTATGAGTACAGCAAGTTAACAATCATTTAAAAAATAAGTTACAAGCATAGTATTATATAAGTGTTTATTCTGTAAATTTTTGTAGTTATAGCATAATGAAAAGAAGATTAAAATATATTCAATATGATAAAGAAATGCATTAAGTATTGAATCATAATTTTTTAATTTTTCTGTTTGTAACATGATAAAATGAAGATTAAAATATGTATAATAAGTTTAAAAAATGTTATAAGTTATTTAATGCCACTTGTTACAAAATTCATTAAAAAATCTTTTCTTTTACAAACTTCTATTGTGTTGTTCCCCCTTAACAAGGGTCAATTGTTTATGAATGGTAAAAACAAAGAAAAAATTATATTAAAATCTTATTTCAGTAATTTAATAAAAAATTAATTTAAATTAATTGCAAAATGCAGATTGTTTTCGAATGCAAAAACAAATCAACTAAGAAAATAATTCTGAGTGACTATCAGTATTCATCTTACAGAATAGCAAAAAGTAAGAAGAATTAGATAAGTAACAGTAGATTAATATAAAAGATCTATATGAATGATCGATATGTAAAAAGACTTTAAACAAAAAACTAAATATTAATATGAAAATGACTTTAATCATTGAAATCTAAGAATAACAATGTTTCACTTAAAGTCTACTTCACAATTATTTTTATACCAAGTGAAAATAAATTTAACAATCTTAGGTTTTTAATTTCCAAAAAAGGAAATGCTCTGAAATTGAAAAAGACACCGAATATGTAATGTAATAAAATACCTAACTCGCAAATATTTTTCAATTAACATACAAAAATAATATCTACCAGGATAAAGTTTGGGGAAATAAATACTAATTAGTAAAATACTAAACTGGAAATAAATAAAAGTACTTGTGTAGATAATTATAAATATCAAATTATTTAATTTAATTGATAATTATTTCAAATTTTATTAATATAAACATAATGCAATAAATTAGTCATTAATATGTAGGAATTTATTTGAATAATCCCAAAAAACTTAAAAGTTTTTTAACAGTAATTTTTAAATTAATTGTTTATGCTTTTTGTTTTAAATGTTTTTTTGTAATTTAAAATTAATAGTAATTATTTAAAGATATGTGTAACAGTATTAAATTTAAATATAAAAAAATTAATATATATCTATACAAAGTTATTTTTGTATGAAACAATCTATCTACAAATAAGCTTTCTAAATAAGTGTCACGTTCTTTTTTATTCCCAGAATTAGTTTCAGACATGAAGAAAAAGATAAAAACCAAAAATAACTTTTTGTTTGATTTTTCAACCAGCCACTTGATTAAACTGTAAGGATATGTACCAGATTGTTCTAACTCACATCTTAAAAATTAAAAAAAGGGCTTTTTTTACCTTATTTTTAAGATTTGTACTCCAATTAATAAGTAACACTAACTAGTTATGCTCAGATTACTTAAAATGAGCTTAATTAGCTGTAGAAATGGTATCATGCATGAAAATCTATTTATCACATTTGGAAGTAAAACTATAAGTTTTAATCATAAAACATTTATTTTTATGTCAATATACATTTAAGGTAATGAATCAATTATAGATATATAAGTTTAATTAACTCAACCAGTCGAAAATATATCAATTTAATAAATAGATTGTGAATTTATATAAATTTATATAAATTTCATAACAAAAAATTCATCTAACCTCATAATCATTCAGCTTGATTTCAAAATTAAATGGGCTAGTTTGAAGATTTTGTTCACTCTGTAGTACGTAATCCATAGAGAAACCAAAATGGGAAGGTAAAATATCAGAATCTTCACCCATTATTTCCCATAGGAAGCTTGCAGTAACTTCAGCTCTAACAATCTGAGAAAAAAATATTTATACCATAAAAGTGAGTAGGATGAAGTTAAAAATTTTACATATTTCTATAATATATATCAATTTTAATCAAAAAGGTAGGTCTATTTTTAATAAAACATTGAGAATTAATTATTTTGATGTAAATGACACCTGATAAATAATTGTAAACGAAACCTAAAACAATATAAAGTAAACATCAATGAAAATAAACAAGATTTATAAAATTACAAGTTTTTTTTTTTAATTGATAAATAAAAAAGCTGAAGTTAGACGTAAGTCAATTGAATTTGTTCCCTTTATTAATTAGAAAAATAGCCACAAACACTTAAAAAATTTCTCTGATTTTTCCCTAATTTCATTGTATTTCTCTGATTTTTTCTAATTGGAGGCATAAATTTTTTAATTCATTTTTCAACTATGCCTTATTCTTACATATTAAATATATTACAAAACAAAATACTACTAGCCATTAGATTTGAAAATGAAAAAAAAGCATATCTCTATTATTATAAGGTTGGTCTTTTTTTATTTATTTTTTTTTAAAGGAAAATATTGGATTTTTAGGTACCTTAAACTAATTTATTAAATATTTTAGTAACATTTCCTGACATTACCTTGATTTTTTCATACTGTCAAAATTCCCTGACTTTAATATGACTTTATTTTATTATAGGTTCTAATGATTAATAATTAGGATTCTAAAAATAAATGTTTAAAGTAAAAATGAACAAAAAAGATTCATGGACTTTTCTCCAAAGTAATAATCTGAAATTTTTATTTTTAATAAAGCAAACAGAAACCATTATTAACTTCCTTGAAGTAAATCATTGTTAAAAAATTCTAATAAATATGCTCAAAAGCAATCAATAAAATATAATTTTTTATTAAAAGTATTTTTAATTTGGCATTTTTTTAAAGATAAATATCAATCAAAATTTCATTCTATTGAAGACATATAATTGAATCATTATAGTATAGATTGAAATTCTCAGTTAGTTCTTAAAAATAACACAGTTACATAAATAGTAAAAAGCAGGCACCATGAAAATTTCTGAGTTTAGTTTTAAAATGTTACAAATTGAAAAGCTAATAAAAACAAATTTTAAACACTTGTAAAAACTCTGATAATGTTATTAAAAGACTTTTATACGTTAATTTAATAAGAAAAATAGTTAGTAACAAAGAACAAAAACTTACCACTTTGTCTTGCAAGCAAAGCTGCTTTAATGGCACATTTTTTTGGTCTAACACTTTAAGCTGAGTATTACTCAAAAGGAAACGATACTTTTGTGTAGTTCCATGAATTACAACTTGAATATATTTCCTAAAAAAGCAAATAAATAAAACTGAATGTAACATTTATAGTATGTCTGAGACAGCAGGAAAAATAAATATATTTTACTCATAATTTTGAAAGATAATTATTACAAAAATTAAATCACAAATGTATTACAGTTAATTGTTTACAGCGTCCAGAAAACCAAGCACAAATTTTAAATAAGAAACTACATACATGAAGATTTTGATAGTATTTGCCTTTTTTCTTTCTTAGCTTTCATTTTCAATGAAATAGGTCCAAATTAAGTAACTTTTGATGAGTATTCTTAAGAAGTTTCTTTATAATTGATAACATAACTGATAATTTAGCATCAAACGAATCTAATATGTAATTAAAAATTTGTTTCTAACAAAAATATTTAGTAAAATTAAATATTTTGCTTAGAAACTAAAAATACAAGTACACAGATTTAAAATTACAGGTTAACTAAATCTGCAAATAATGTTTATTTTTCAAGCAGCATAAAGTTATCTTTTTTCTTCTTTTTAAAAAATATAAATATTTTAATGCATATTACATTCTAATGCATATTAATTCAAATTCTTCTAAATATTATTGAAATATAAACTAAAAAATATTAAAATGCAAAATTTTGCAATAATAAAAAATCTAACTTTTACAAAAAGCGTAAAAATTAAGCAGCTATGCAATCTTAGCAACTAAGGTACAAAAAATAAAAGATTATTTAATATAAATTTTTTAAGTGACAAATTGCAAATGAAATTACTAGAATTAAACAATTATAAATATACAATTTTACATATTTATGTTAATTAGCTATATTTATTTATCAACAAAAAAAAAACATTTTAAATTTATTATATTTTGAACAATACCCAAGTCTTAACGAAAATAAAGTTCCTGTTTTCTGTGTTTATATCATTTAAAAATTGAAAAGAATTAGTTAATTCAATATCTTAAATTTTGAACATAGACAGGACAAGCTTCTGGCACAAAAAAATTATGCTTGAATTAATTTTGAGTCACATACATTTTATTTTTACCTTATTTTGCACATTTTTTATCAAATACAAAAATCAGATATTGAAAATAGAATATGGTTTTATCAGAATAAATAAAACTTGGACATATAAAGTTGGTTACGTTCACCTAGGCTTTCACTGAAATGAAGCTAATTCAACTCATTTTATTCACTTTTAAAAATTATAAGAATAGGTATAAAAATTTTAAACTTTTTTTAAATATAATAAATGGTTTGGGGGAATTTAACTGCTTGTAAACTGCTGTTTTTTTAAGACAGGACACCTTAAAGCATTTTTTTCAAAAATACAACAAATATAGAACAACTGTGAGACTAGACTATATTTTATTTTACAACCGTCGTCGAACAGTCAACCCAATTTTGTGTTTACGACAACTAATGCTCAACTCCGTAAGCCTTGTAACCCCAATCCAGAAGACAAGGGATCTCCTGGATCAAATATTGGGAGAATTTTGACCTCGACTTTTGATGGAACTAGCTCTGCGTTACAAGGAGAGGATAACCTCTCACAGTTAGCCTGACAGCCCTAACCCATAATCTGATTACCATTGAGGATACTTTACGTCAGCACTGTGGTCGGTGTGAGCCGGGAGCGTAATTCAAATCCCTGACTTCGTAAGGAGGCAAACTCTCTATCCCCTGAGCCACCACGCATCAGACTTGGCTATAGTGAAATTTTTGGAAACTTTAATTATAATTACTCAAAATGTGATAAAATTTTAGACTTATAAACATGCCGGAAAGGGAATAAATGCCTTTACCATAAATTATCATAGTCAGTGTATAAAAGTTTGCCACCCACTCACATGTTTCTAAAGTATTTTAAAGAATAATGCATGATAAATCAAACTTACCTAACATCACAGGTATGTAGCTTATGAAGGACAAAAAATGGAGGAAGAAAATGAAGAGAAATTTTATGTGAGCTTGTTGACCACGGACATTGCAATGAAACAAAATGTTCAATCATGTTGGGGTTTCGTTGAGGACCAAACGGTGCTTTAACTTTTAATGAAACTTCTGTAGATTGAAATGAAGCCATTTCAGCTAAGGGAATGCTTACGTCATCAGACCAATCAGCTGGTTCTTCACTTTCTTCATACTGTAAATATTATGATAATGGCCAATTTTATTGTAAAATAATAATAAAATATACTTTGTTTAGAACAGAAATTTTCCTATATAATATTATCAATGGAGCATTAAATAACTCAATAATTTAAAAGGAATACAAGTAAAATTCTTATTTTACCCTTGCATTAAACAATAACCAGTATTAGTCAGTTAATAATCTCAAATCTTATGAAATTAACATTCATATTTAAAAAAATATTTTTTTTTCTACTAAACAACAAATAGGTGACCAACATAAATATTTATATGGATAAATTAATAATGGCTTAGAAATAAATTAGCAAGGCAAAAATTATAAATAGATTCACAAAAACAGGGATGTTCAAATGCTGAATATGATCTACAAAATGTTTTAATGTTTTCCAGTTATCATTCGAAAAATTTTTTACATGAATTGCAGTTAAATATTTTTTATTTCAAGAATTTTATAAAATGTTTAGCCAATTTAAGATTATGACAGTTGAAATCCATGTTAAATCAATAAAAATAGCTTTTTAAGATATTTCCCCAATCATTTTAAAATTTAATTTTATTAATTGGGGGTTTAATTCTATTCTAAAATTTAATTCTATTATTCGATTAATTGGGGATACTAAAAAAATATTAAACAAAATATGCAATTCATATTCCTATAAAATCTTTTCCAGAATCTTATCCACTTATTTTAGTGATTTGAGATAATCACTTAGTATATAAATCTGTCACAAAACACATTTTCTTGAAATAAACACAAATTCAAAAAATTATAAAGAATTATAATTATTTAGCAGATTTAAAATCGATTCAGATAATACACATATCAAACTACCCATGTTCAATGTTGAAATTCAAAATTCATACCCTCAGCTGTAAACCCCTGGATGACTTAATATGTATTACAGAATCTTTGGGAAAAGATGAACTGCCACTTGTTATGAGCAAGATGAGTGTTTGTTCTAGACCAGCAACAAGATCTCCTACAAAACATTTAATAAAAAAAAAAAATTAGACAAGTTTGAAGTATGCAGGTATGTTCTCATTTAATATTTGCCATAAATCTATGTAATACAATTTCTTAATCACTAGTTTGCATGCAATGTGAATGAAATTTCAATACAGATTTATATATGTATATAGAGTATGTCTCGCAGTGGACTGATCATTAAGACACGGTACCCAGCAGATCACCAAAGTCAAGCATCACTGGCTGCGATCAGTGTGCGGGTGGGTGACCACTTGGATCTGCCTGCGTAGGGACTGAGGGTGTGCGGTATTGGTACTCGTTAAACTGTTCTACCGTAAAGTGCTCGAGTTCGTGTGCAGGTCGTCGGACTACCGAAGGGTGGCGCCATCCCCTCCGCAGAGGATCAAAATTGTGATGGCATGTCTTCAGATCATTCTCAGGGATGTTTCCCAGACCATCCCCAATAGCCCATTGTGCAGCTCTAGTGTGACGTAAATGAACAACAACAATATAGAGTAAAACCTATCTATATTGATATGATCTATTAGAATATAAGCCCCGCTAAATTCTTATCTTTTTAATATGTTTTCAACTTCTCAACAAGATATTCAAAAATTTGTGCTTTTGATGGTCTGATGTCTTCTTTCAAACGTGCTTCAGATGTCTGCCAAAGCCACAACAATCTATACTATCCCACTACAATCCTCAAGTTTGTCCACAGGCGATGCATAAACTACTTATTTAAGATGACCCAACAAATGAGATATAGCGCAAACGGTGGCCATACAATGGGTTCCATGCGTCCAAGTAATTTATCTTGATTCAAAAACTACACGCACTTTTCAAGAATTTCATCCACCCTACATGTCTACTCTACTACTTCTATAATAAATTTTCACCTTCATGATAACTTTCATTCCTCTGAAATTGTGGGCTGAATTTCAGAACACCTAATCAGTATTTTTTTAGATGAACCTGTTTATAATATAATATGCTTTTTAGGCAAGAATAAAATTTTAAAGATAAGAAAGAAGGATAATTTTACAACAATTTTGCAAATGCTAAAATTTTATCTTGGAGAAACTAACATTATAGTTGGGAAATGATGACCCATAATTCATAAAAAAAATCATGAATCATGGATAATAAAAGATATCTGACAAAAAGTTTGCTTGTGTTCCTTGGTGGTCATTGGTAAGTTATGATTTTGAGGAAGGAGAATGCATTTGTTTAGTCCAAGCTTATCCATTACTGTATGTTTACTTGCACCAGTTATAGCAGTCAGACCACTTTTTTCCAGGAAATTCATATTTATGAATTAAAGCTTTAAATGTATGCTAGCGTGGGAAAAAGATTTTAGCAATTAAAAAAAGAGCTTGAAATAATTTCAAAAATTGGTCAAGTTGAAGCTGCTTTAAAAAGTAACAGACCTAGATTTTTCAAAGAAACATTTAGGTATTGAAAATATGGTAGAAGATTGTAAAATGGACAGCATATAAAAAATGTGTTATAAATGGTGTCATTTATAAATTGACTCACATGTAGGGCATTAATAAATCAAGAATTTTTAAAAAAGTTAAAAAAAATAATTATGAAAAATAAATAGCTAATTTGTAATAAAATATCAATAAACAAAATAAAAATATTTGCTAAGTTTACGGATATTAATTGCCAGCACAGGTTATAGGTACATTTTTATGTTGTGTAAATGCCTTAAAGTTTTTTTTTCTGATAGTGAATAGTTTTAATTTATATACTTATATTTATAGTTTAGTTTAGTATGTATATTGAGATTTACAATGTAAAAAGTTTAAAAAGCAATAAATTCACACAGTTAGTCACGTCTCATTTTTGAAATAGTCACTTATAGTCAAAAGATTATTAAGGTGCATAACTTTTCCAACATTGTGGCTCACCAAAAAGGTGGCTCTCTAATTTTTTTTCTAAAAATTTAAAAGAAATTAAATAACTAGTAAAAGAAGTTTTATTTGAATAAGCTTTGAAAAATAACCAGATAACATTAAAATTCCAAAATGTATAAGAGTCAAGAATACAAGATGGCAAAATGTAATCTTTCAAAATTTCAAATTTTTTATGAATATGTTACAGTTATAGAGAATTTTGTTTACATAAAACGTGATCGAACTAAATTTAGATTAAGGATTTATTTAAAAAATAAAAGTGTCAATAATTCATGCTGATTAAATAAGTAATAAAGCTAATTTTCTTGCAGAAAAAGCTTAAAACTTGCTTTATATTAGATTTATTGAGAGAAAAATGTGCAAAATTTCAATCATAAATATTATATGCATAATTTGAAAATATGAACATAATTCTTTGGCTTTTAATTTTTTAGAAAATTGACACTGCAAGAATTATTTAAATTATTATCAATTGATGTAAAAACTGAATGCAATGTGATCGGCTGGGGGTCAAAACTTTTTTTTTCCTTGCAGATCTCATCCCAAAAACGTTGTGTACCCCTAGAGGACATATCTCATTTAATGAAAATAAACAACACTTATACTTAGTTTGATTGATTTGAGTTGCAATACTTTATTAATTCAGAATAAATATTTTATAATAAATTTAAAATCTTCCAGAAATAAAAATTTAGCTTTTCCTTGTATTCATATCTATAATGAGTCTCTATAATATATATCCCTAATATATTATTTTAAGTAAATATTGAAATATACGTATGTACTATTTTACTTTGATTTTCAGTTAAACGACACAGCATGATACAGGTCATAATTAACTCGATTTGTTATAATAAGAATAGAAGGAAAAGCACACCAATTGTAACTTACCATTTTCCTCAACATGCTTTCTAATGATTGAAGGCTGTTCTTCAGTTACCACAAATGAAAATAATGGCGATAAATTTGAGAGAGCAAAATGAATATTCCCCCACTCCATCCAGAGACGATGAAAAACATACATGCCGATGTCAGCTGCCTAAAAAAATGTACCAAAAATTAAAACAAGGAAGTAGCAGTGGTGGTGCTAACAACTTATCCACATCCTGAAAAATGGATTACGGGTAGCGAAAAAAAAATATAGAATATCCACAGGTCTTATTAAAAAGATCTTTAACACAATGCTGACGACTTGGTACTTATAAATTATAAGAGTAAATACAAACATACTGAGATAAAATAGAAAAAGCGAACATAATTTACTTTAGTTTACTGGATTAGAGTAACAAGCTACCAAAGTCGAATAACAATAAATGTTGTTGGATCTTAGGTTAGCAACTATAACTCTTTAAAAATTTGAGAAACTTAAACTCATGATAAAAATAATAAAGCTTTTACAATATTATGTTTAATAACATAGTTGTTTATAAAAAGTTCCTGAAAAAAGCTTTATAAAGACTCATAGGCACTGTGTCACTGCTATTGCATGCATTGTTAAAAATTGACAGTTATTACTTGAACTGAATGATGGAAAAATACATTTTAATGCCCAGAATTTTTCCCTGCAGTTAATATATTGAAGCCTAGAAATTATAATTAAGAGATATCTTTCTATTAAATAAAACCTTTAACTTTTGATATAACAGACACTTTTAAGAGTCATTAAGACAAAAATTAAAATATATATTTCGATAATACTTGAAATCATACAAACTCTTCTAAAAATTAATTGTGATCACCTCTTCGATTGCAATAGTTCTCTATTCTTCCACAAAAAACATTGTAATTTCTCTATAAGAATCTTAAAACAAATATATCATATTATTTAACATTTAGTGTTACATTCTGAAGTCATTTACAGTAACTTGATGATTTTCTGACAAAATGTTTGTTATGCTTGTAAAATTTGTAAACTAATTTTATTATTTCGAGATTTTGAGAAATTTTTGGTAGCGGATGTGTTTGGAGAAATCTGTGTACATCGCAAGAGAAATGAAACACCAACAAATTTAAGTATATGTGAAATAAGTTTGAGTGGTTATTAGGTATATAAATGCAACAATTTAAATAAATGATTACGTTCTTTGTTTTCGATCGAGTGATGGTAAATTATCACTACCAGTGAGATTGTCATATATTAATCAAGTTTTAATAAAAAGGAATGTAAGTAAAAATTTTATATTTTTTCTCCTCATTGCAGCTTTCCTTTTGTTTAACCTTATTTTATTTTTCAAATTAATATCTTTTACATTAGAGAATGAATTAAAACTAACTGTAACGAACTGTTATACTTTCCTTGCATGATTTAAATCTAGTATTTTAATCATGTGGTAAATTATCATACTCCAAGAGAGTAGCATATTTTAATGTTTAACATATGATTTCGATTAATTTTTGCATGGACTAATTTTGTTACCATGTATAATTTGTTTAAAAACTAATGATTTGAACTAATTTATTAAGTTGATATTCTAAATTGTTATACAGCATGTACTATAAGTCTGAACTTACATTATTTATCACTAACACATTAATATTAGTGAACGTATTACTTGTATTTCACAAAAGTTAAAATATTTAATGCAGGGTTGGGTTTTTGACGTCAAAAAGTGGTTTTTGACATGACAAGGGTATAATACTGGTTTAAACCGTCAAAAACCCGTCGAAAACGTCAAAAACTGAAGTTTGCCAAGAAAATATATAAACTTCAAAACTACCAACAGTTGCCATGCATTATATTGAAATTTAATTATACTATAGGTAATCAGCAGGTTTTAAAATATTTTTTAATTAAAATTAAGGTAAAATAACAGATTTAAAATCTCAGAAATTTATATTCAAATGCATGTGCAGAAAAATTTTGCACAAAAATTGTTTAAATATTTATATTTTAAAAAATTTTTTTTTTCTTTTTGATACTTAAGAAAATTAAAAGTTTATTACTATGCATTTTTGACATATAAGGAACATATAACTAATATTTATAAGGAACTTACAAGTTATGTTGTATAAATACAAACTTGATATAAGATACAAGTGTATAAAAAATTTTTTTTAATGTTATACCGAATATCTTTATTATCCAGTATGTTAATTTGAATTTAAAAGTAGTTATATTTATGAATAATGATAAATATAATTCATATTGTTTATTATATTTATTTATAATTATTACACTTATCATTTTAAAACAATTTTTATCTCTTAATTTTTTTTTCTCCACTTGTATTAAGAATACAAATAATGCATATCTTGAAAGCAAGAAGTAATTATTCAACAGCTGAATATTTAGATATTCAACAAAACTATATCGTATTCAGCAAAATGAAATTCACAAGTATTTGGATAAACTAAATTTTCAGCATAGTAAATGAATAGGCTGAATATACTGTAAATCGACACTAACTACTCTGTGTATTTAACAGAAAGCACTTAAATTTGTATTGTCTTATGTTAAAAAGATTATTAAGAAGATTTAAAAGAATATTAAAAAGATTTTTCTTTAAAAGATGTCTAATGTACAAAACTGCTAATGTTTATCTTTAAAAATGTCTAATTTTTAGTATAATCTATACTATACACTAAATTTGGTTATAAATAAATTTCTTAATAATATCACTGCAGATTTTCAATAACACATGAAAATGAATACATAATATTACAAAAGATGTGAGTTTTCAAAAGTACAAGATTTTGGTTACTATTCAAAATATAAGTGTTTCTTCAAAATTTTAAATTTATTTTTTCTAGAACATTTAGAAACACTATCCTTTATAAAAAAATATATAAATTTTATGTATTAATTAAATTTTACATATGAATATAGGTTTTTGACATTTTCGACATTTTTGACAGTGAGGTTTTTGACGTGACGGTTTAAACCATGGTTTAAACCGTCAAAAACTGTCACATGTAAAAAACCTGCCAACACTGATTTAATGTTAACTAGCAGTATGGCCGAGTCAGTAATACGACCACACCAGTATATCACACATAGTACAAACACAGTATTACACTGTAATGTCTGAAAAATGAAAATACATTATATTTTAACTAAATAGTAGTCGCATGTAAAGATTTAGACCATCACAAAAGATTTATCTCAAACCTTCCACAAAAAAATTTAAATTACAATATTAAATAAAAACATTCTGGAAAATATAAATTTGGGTGTTTAAATTCATTATCATTAATTTTATTTTAATTAAAGATAATAAAAATTGTTATTTGCAATAAAAAAGGCAGAATTTAGAAGAACAACTGAATTGAAACATTGTAAAGACTCAAGAATTATAAAGACTACCAAATTGAAATAAAATTTATCTCAATAAAACGAAAAATAACTTATTGTCTTACAATAATTATATTCAAAGTTTATTTAAGGGTTATTATTATTTATGAACTTAAAAAAATATCTTATAAATGAAAAAATATTTTTATTGTAACTTATAGTGTTATTTTTTCTGGAACGTACCATCTCAGATCTCATAAGCCCGGCTGCACTATGAGGTTTGTGTTTACGCCACAGTTAAAAGGAAACAACCTTCTTTATGTTTCATTTTTACGCTTTAATAAGAGTAAACTTACTTTTACAGGGATGGTAACAACATTATTTCCAGGAATAAGCTTAACCATGCTGGTCTTATAAAAGAGCCCACTCTCTTCTTCATTGATATCATCCTTGTGGAAACCTTGGCTGTCTCTGCGCCTCAACACTTGTTGTATGTTCCTACACATCACTGAATAAATTTGAGAGCCATCTTGGCGATAGGAACTTAGAACAAGCTGAGGCTGTACTAAAATACGCTGCGGCATATCATCTCTGGAAGGAATGCCAAGTTCACCAGAGAGCATTGGCGACATAGGACTGTGAGCAGTTGGAACTGTCGCTTTTGAAGATAGATAATGAGAATCCGATTGCTTCGACTTGTCCACAGAAGGGGCATTCTGCTTCTTCAGCACTAGTTTAATGCTCCGGCATATTATTTCACTTGGCAGATTACTTTGAATGTGAAAAGTTATAGATATTTCAGAGTTTTTGGTAATTGGAACAATAGAAGAGTCGATTTTGGCACCACTGACTAGAAATGTTTTTTCAGTTCTTAATCGTAAAGGATCTGAAATTAGAATGATAACCATTGAATTCAGTTTAAATATTTCAAACAATTTTTAACTCTTTTTTATGCATGTTATGTGTATGATAAACTTACAAAATAGAATAAATTTATGTTATCATTGAGTTTATATTTTCTATGTATATAAGCTAAATAGCATAAAGTTACATTAACTTTGGATGCATATCACCTATATCCTTTAAATACTTAAGAACATTTATATATAAGACTTTACTGGGGAAATTCAAAATACATGAAAAATATACCTATTAAAAAAGTAATAATTGAAAAATTTCAACTAACAATTATTATAAGACAATAAACAAACCCAATAACAATTTAGTTAGTATTCCATGAGGTTTTACATTTCCATTTATAAAAAAATTACTATTCACCACTACTCGTGATAATGTACATTTAAATGGTAACAAAGCTACCTCAAACTAAAAAACAAAAACTTATGACAATATATACTCAAGCGTAGATAACTAAGTGGTGTTAAACAATATGTCTAGTACAAAAACCAAAATAGGGTGAGAAAAACATAATTATAAACAAAATAAGAGAAACCCAAGGGAAACTCAGAATCGTAGAGCCCATCTGCATATAAAGAAAACCACCACATAAGTTTAGTCAAAATATTTCCCATAAATATTCTTTACAAACTGCATCATTTACTACATATGGTCAGAAAGAAAGTTCAAAAGTATTTTAAGTAAATCTAATGCTGGTTATTACTAGAAAGATTAAATTATTAAGACTTCTTTAAAAACTAAAGAAATGCATCCATACTTTTTGTAAAAAAATGCATTTCAAAAGAAATATATTATGCAGAATATATATACTGCAGGATATAAACGTCTTCGGCCAAAATGTTAAATTAAAGTAAAGTTATATGCTATAAAATGGCAAATTTGCCATTATCCTGGCTGTCATTTTCCTGGATTATAAATGCCAGGACATTGAGGTGTTACCAGAAATTCTTTTTAACTGCTAATACTGTAAAGATTATTTTGTTTCAGATTATTTTGAAGACCTTAAATTTGAACAAATTTTTTGGTCCGAATTGTCATGTTTCATGAGAATCACCCATATATATAATCATATATATAGACAAAAATGCACCCAATTTTACATGCTCTCATTTTCATAGAATAATATGGCAAGAACTGATTATTTTTGATCAGGAAATGTAATCAGCTTAAAGTTCAATAAAAGTTCAGTACTTAGATTTACATTTAAAAAAATTCCTTCTCTATGTAAGTTGTAGTAAAAAGATTACAAAATTTAATAAACACACTTTGAATAAAACAAAATTTATTGTATCAGTAGGCTAATAGTTATCTAACACTCACTGGTATTTTGGAAAATTGAAATTGATGGATACTTAATAAAAGGTTTTATCAGATACATTATTTAATGTATTCTTCCATATTATGTTAACATTTGTTTAAAATTTTGTGTATTTTGTTTGAATAAAAATGAAATGAACTTCTTTTTAACCTCTTCTCTGTCGGATTTTTTTTTTTCGAAATTTTAACCCAAAAAAAAGCATTTTTTTATTGCATACAATTGAAATATGTTCTATCCTAAATTCGAAAATACAAAATATTTTTTTCAGCAATCAGTTTTTTGCTTGACCTATTGGTGGTGAAATATGGAATGTCCCATCCACTGATCTCCATTTCTCCCTGCAATGCATTAAAGTTTTATCTTAAATTACACTATGATAGCACATTTATTAACTCTATTGCTTTAAGGTGCTTAAGATAAATATCTGCATAAAATAATTATTAAAATTAGGTAAAAAATATTTTGGAAAATTAATTTTACAACTTTAAAACAGCTTTACAATCAGTCTTTGGCATCAGAACGTAAAAATCACATTTATCACAAAACTGAAACGGTAACACTAAAAGCGAAATTACAGAAAGTTCAAAATAATTTTGATTTCATTTCAAGGCTGGAAATTTCACAGCAAAAATTGTAAATAAAGTGGGACCAGTTGTGCCATTGCTTAGCAATATTCAGAAATACAAAAATAATTATGGGATTTAAAGAGACGTGTAAGTAGCAAGGAATTATATGTCAATGATGCAATTTTTCTAATCGTTGCATAGCATGCAACACCGACCATGTGGGCACTAAAATGCTGAACGCATGAGATGCGATGCCAACAGAGAAGAGGTTAAAATTTATGAATAAAATCATAAGTAAACTAAACTAAACTCAGTGGCGCGACAGCCCATACAGGCCTAATGTGCCCATCTCAGTTTTCTTGACCTTAGGATCTGGGGTGCAGTAGCAGATGTTTCGGTTAGGTGGTCAGCTGAATGCGAAACCGCCAGTGTTTAGTTCCCAAGCATGCTTGGTACTCACTTATCGACCCCCTGAAGGGATGAAAGGCTGAGTCAACCGTGCAAGACCAGAGGATCGAACCCAGGACCTGTTGCATGGGAGCACGAAGCGCTACCACTCACACACCAGGCGTATCATAACACTTCAGATAATTATTTTTTTTCATAAATTAGAATAATAAAAGATTGTGTTAGAGGATTATCAGTACATTGTAGCTTATATTGATGTTTCATCAGCAGAGTGTAGTAAATTATGTAAATCTTTATATTTACATATTTAGCAATATTACCTGATCCAAGTTTTTCACTACTAGTAATTATCTCTTGAAAATAATCCTTTCGTTGATCAAAACTTAAACAAACAGATGCAGAAAGTCTAATGCAAGTTTTAAGATATCGCCCAATATCACCCATGTCTTCGTAACACTGAAGCAAATCCTGCTGTATATTTGCAGTTAGCATTTCCCAGTTTTCTTCTCTATATGTTTTCAGTAGATCCGCTAAAAATGAAATAGCTTTTTGAGGCTGCTTCATTTTCCTGCATAAAAAACGAAAATGTAAAGGTTATAATTATTAAGACACAAATGCAACAATGATTTATCAATATATTTTAATTAGGCCAAGTAATAAAATAAAATAAAGATGCATTCATATTTCATAGAAACATGCATTCATATTTTGTATGAAAAATAAGGCAGATTCTAGTTTTACCAAATTTAAACTATTTTTGTTAAATATTTTGTTATGAAAAACATTCCATATAATTTCATTTCAAAACATAAGTTTAAAATTCAAAAATGTTTAAACACAAATTTAAAAATAATTTGCTTTTATTAAAATCATTTGCCTTAAAAAAAACTTTTTTATTTCTAACTTAAGCACTTTTTATCAATAAATTAATATGCAAAACAAGCTTGTAAGTTGAGTAAACTCTAAAAGCTAAATTTCATGTATTTCTTGGAGAAAATATAAAAGTATTTCAACACCAGAAAATAGAAATGTTGAGTAAGACATTCTCCGTGACAACATTTACCTACACATTGTCCATCAAAATGTTGTTCTACTCAAACAGTTTAAAAAGAACATATAGCCTATAGCCTGGAACTTGCTCACAGAAACTAATACCACTTCCTTTATTTAAAAAATAAATTTCTCAGAGATGATTCAAATAATTGAAGCTAGAAATTAGGGTTAGTGCTTTCCAAAGGACATGTTGGGAAGCTGCTATGGCATGGGAACATAAAAACTGACATAGGATCTTAAAAAAATAGCTTCATCTAACCAATTTATGATTATGTTGAAAAATTAAAAAAACATTAAATCTTTAAAACAATATAAATAAACAGATTTTTATTTTTATTTTTTTAAATAAATTGTTACTTTTGAAATTGCTCTTCCATGAACCTTAGTAAATGAAGAACAAAATAAGTTTCAACAAATAAACAAATTTCAAATACTCTACATGTATAACTGAGCCAAGTCTCTTCCAATTAAACGAGCAGTTCTAATTCTTCGATTATGTTTAAAAGTTCCCATGGTCAATTCAGATAACTCCTATAAATTAAATCAAATCATTAATAAGTTATACAACAAGACATCAAAAAATTAAAATGTATTGTGTTAAAACAATATTACCAAATAGTTTTTTAAGAACGATTCCTTAGATGATAGTGCAGCTCTGAGTTTAGCGTGAGGACTTTCAGCACCAACTAATATTAAATGTAAACATTTCAATAAGTTGATTATTGATATTTTTTTTAAAAAAAATTTTAATGAATCTAGGTGATAAAGTAAAACATACACATAAACTTAAGAAATAAAAGAGCATTAAAAAAATTTAAGCAAAGTATTATTATACAGTCAATATTTAAAATGTTTCACTCTAATACTGCTTATGAGAGAAAATGCTTAGGAGATACTTATGAGAGAAAAAAATATTTTATAAATGTTACCGGCAAAGTATGAAATGCCAGCATTATATATAATGCCTGATGTTTTTAGGCAAAGTATGAAATATGAGAAGTATTACATACTTTGTCTAGAAATTATATATAATGCCGGATGCTATTTAGGAAAAGTATGAAATAAACGTCCTGATGAGGTTATTACGTAAATGATGTGCATGTTACTGTGAATGACCGAAATCGGTGATTGTTGACTTTCACCTGTGAATGTTGACAATCACATAGTTGCTTTGGTGAATGTCCGAAATATTTACCACATCAGATTTGATATTAATTTTTTGTGGATATAATTACATTTATTCAATATTTTAATACTTACTGATGATAGATTAGAAGAAACATCAGTGCTTCGAATATCGGGCAAATATATACCGGGCAATGATACTTGACCTTAAAAAAACATCAGTGTAGGATATACCGGACAAATGTATACCGGCAGTGGCACTTGACCTTAAAAAAACATCAGTGGAGGGTATACCGAGCAAATGTATACCAGGCAGGGGCACTTAACCTTAAAAAACATCAGTGGAGGGTATACCAGGCAAATGAATACTAGGCAGGGGCACTTAACCTTAAAAAACATCAGTGTAGGGTATACCGGGCAATGGCACTTGGCCTTAAAAAAACATCAGTGTAGGGTATACCGGGCAAATGGCACTTGACCTTAAAATAATATCAGTGTAGGATATACCGGGCAAATGTTTACCGGGCAGTGGCACTTAACTAGACCTAGTATATATTTCAGACATTTACCAAAGGTCTATTCATACTAGGTCTAATCAAGTGCCTCTGCCCAGTATACATTTGCCCGGTATATCCTACACTGATGTTTTTTTAAGGTTCAGTGCCACTGGTATACCCTACACTGATGTTTTTTTAAGGTCAAGTGCCATTGCCCGGTATACTCTACACTGAAATATTTTTTAAGGTCAAAAGCCACTGCCCAGTATATCCTACACTGATATTTTTTTAAGGTCAAGTATCATTGCCTGGTATATATTTACCTGATACTCCAAACACTGATGTTTCTTCTAATCTATCGTCAGTAAGTATTAAAATATCGAATAAATGTAATTATATCCACGAATAAACTAATATCAAATCGAATATAATAAATATTTCAGTAAATATATTATTGATTGTCAACATTCACCAGTGAAAGTCAACAACCACCGATTTCGGTCATTCACAGTAACATGCACATCATTTACATAATAACATCATCAGGGCGTTTATTTCATACTTTGCCTAAATCGCATCCGGCATTATATATAATGCCTAGGACATTTGTGAAATATAAATCATTTCATACTTTGCCGGCTGGTTTCAAGAATTATATATAATGCCTAGGCATTATATATAATGCCGGATTTCATACTTTGCCAGTAACATAAACATTATTTAAAACGGTGTTACATCAAACAAATTTCTTTCAAAGTTCCATGTAAGGAAGAAAACACTGTAAGGCTCCATACATGAATATACATATTTAAATTGAATTTAAACACAAAAAATTCCCTAATTTGCAATATTATAAATTAATAAGGATATACCAATTTTTTATTTTATTTTTATACCAGGAATAAAAAAATATAAGAAGTCCTTCCCTAATTACCATTAAAATGTTTATTTTTAGAATTCTATGCAAAAAAGGAAGGAATGGCCAAATAATATTCAAGCAACAAAAACAAAATCATATACTGATAAATCACTAAAAATGAAGAATTAATTAAAAAGATCAAAATTAGTTTGATTTCAGATAAAATTTTAAGATATTTATAATAATCGACTTTCACTTCCTTTTAGTTTCCTATGGTGACTAAACAGGTTTTTATTTTGCTTACTGTATTACTGATTTGTCAAATTTTGCTAAAGTTTTTCCTTTTTTTTTTTTTTTTTTTGAAANTTTTTTGGACTAAATATTATATAATTTCTAACCTAATTTCGCACATTTTTTTTGACAAAGATTTAAAAACAGTGATTACAGAACACATTGTATAGTCAGAATTTATCCAACCAATTAATAAGAATAATAAAAAGATATAATATTGATTTAAATTTTAAAAAATAAAGAAGAAATTATAAGCTTAATTATAAGTTTATTTATTTTAGATTTTAAAAAAAATAGAGAGAAAAAATTTAAATACCAGGATATGGATCTTCCCCCATGCCAGCCAAAAGACTAACAACTATATGAAGCTTCTCCGAATTTTCATTTAAGTCTGGCATAAGTCCACACAAAATTCCAAGATGATGGAGCTATATAAAATATATTTCTGTTACTTTTCAAGTTCTTAAATTTTAACTTTTTGCACTTGCAATAGATGGCACATTAAATTTATGCAACCAATTAAAATTAAAAAAATACCTCACTGTTCAGTTACTTTTTTTAAAAAAATGTCAATGAAATAAAGTGGTTACCAAATATTAAGATATGAAAATTTTAACATTTGTAGATTCAAAATTTAAATCCATTTATTTGGTGTGATGGTTTAAAAAGGTACCAGATTAAAAATAAACAAAATGCAATTGCTAAAAAACATTCTAAAATGTATTGTACTTCTAAAGTAAACAAAATGAACAATATTATATACATAAAGAATTTCAAGATTTTTAAACAAGTACATTATCAGTTTGAAGGGGAGGGTTTCTCCTTATGAATTATTGATTTTCATCAGTGAACTAAATTTACAATATTCTGAAAATTAAGCATAACAAATAAATCATATTGGGCATAACAATAGCATGGTTGCACAGAAACGAATAGATTAAATATTTTAGAGAAATTATTTTAAAATGTTACTGGCTATGTGTAGTAGTTAAATTCAAGTTTATTTCAAAAAAAATCCTAAATTTAAAATTTCAGTAGGACATATTAAAATTAATAGTATTATAGTATAAGAAAATAAAACTTCTAATACTTAACACTACATTTTTCTTTAATAGAAATCATTAATGAGGATATTTGCATTCAACATATATTTTTTTCATTAATAAAAACACTTATTCTTTAATATACTAAGTAAATAATTATTATAATATCTTAAGAGTGTTACTGCGAAACCACCATATACCATTACCAGACAAAAGACTTCATTCACTTCAAAAATATAGGAATAAAAAATAACAGTAGACATGTTCCAAGCACTCAGAAACAGACACCCATTCTCAAGACCTTTTGTGAGTGCTTGAAACATGTTGACTGTTATTTCCTATTTATATAAATTTTTAAGCAAATGAAGTTCTTTATCTGGTAATATCTTGCCTTTTCAGTTCCTTTGGATCATTTATTTAACGCAAAATACTATGTCAGTAAAATTACAGTAAAGTGAAAAATATATTTTCATTTAGATTGCTTTCAACAAATTTTTTAATTTAAATTTGCATAATAAAATTAACGTTTGCAAAATATTCGATAGAAAAAATGTTAGTATGTCAACACTGCATTAAAAACTTAATTTATTCTATATTAAACTAAAACTTGAAACATGATAACAAGATTTACTTTATACAAAGAAGTAAATACTTAAGAAACACTATAAAAATTAAGATAAATTATATTAAGCTGCACCTTTTCGCGAGCATATGCCCATAGTCCAGCACAATAAAGTGAATACTCTTTTATTTGAGATGTATCACTAAACTTTTCACACGTCTGCAATATTTCAAAACAACTCAGAAAGACCCAGCATGCCACAGAACCTGGGGGCATGGCTATCTATAAAAAAAATCATTAAGTTAACATAAGTTATTGATACTTGATTTCCAGAAACAGCTTACAGTAGTGAAATATACAGATCTGTTTTCGTTTTTTAATGACCTACTTTCCACATTAGATTCAAAAAAGAAAAAAACTGATGTTGCACTTAATTAAAAAAAAAATTAAAAGTAAAAATAATAATTTTCCAAAAAATTTAAGGTTAATCTTTTTCTACCAAAGACGTTAAAACAGACTTAAGCATAGTTCTTTATTTAGAAATTTCTTCATTAAAATATGCATTGTTAAATAATTTCTTTCCAATACATGCACCCAATAAATTCCCAAAATAAAAAAATAAATCAATAGAGAAAAATTAAACAATAACAAAAAAAGGAAGAAAAAACATGTTCACAGTCAGTCAAAAATCACAGACAAAATTTGACATTTCATGAAAATTCAAGATACTTATTAAATATTGAAACAGAGTAAAAAAAAATACTAAAAATACAAATACGAAACAATTACAAGTTTTAAAAAAATTTATTAAAATGTTTTCTTATAAAATTTTAAAGAAACATAAACAAAATTATGATAATTTTAAAAAATTATTTTTATTATACAGAAGAGTCCTGATTATCAGAGCCCCGATTATCAGAGTTTCCGCTTTAACCGAGCTATAAAATATTTCAAGTTTTTTTTTTTTTTGTTCCACTTCATTTTTTTTATTTTTAAAGCTATCGGTGAAAAAAATCTGAATTTTATCTTCCAAACACTCAGGAAAACAAAATTCAACAACTTGATCCCATAAATGATCGTTAATATCGTCAATACTGAAAATGAATCTAGCAAAGATGAAGACAGTGAGATGAAAATCAACCTATAAAAATCTTTCATACAGATGGGCTAAAAGCTATCGAAAGTGCTATTGAATATATAGAACAGCAAGAAGAGGTGACACCAGTCTTCCTGTTTACCCTAAAAAATTTTGAAACATTGCTGCAAAAGCGCCAAAGTAATGTAAAATCTATGTATGTAAAGTATGCTCTTTATGTGTTTTTAAGTAAGCTTTTTAATTATAATATGAATTTTATGTGGTGTATTTGTATAAAGTTCATGTTTGTTAAATATATTACATTAATAGCTACTTTTTCTCTTTCCTTTTTCATACTCTTCGCTTTAATCGAATTTTTCGGTTATCCGAGTTAGTCATGGTCCACTTTAACTCGGATAATCAAGACTCTACTGTACTTACATAATACAATAAAGAATGCAGTTACAATATTTTTAATACAAAATATAATGAGAGAAAATGCACAGCATTATAATCATCAATGCCCACTTTCATCAATTGCATAAATGTGTCTGTAGTTAATATTAGTTTACACTATGCCCTAAACTATAAAAATGTTGAATGAGAAATATTAACATACCTCGAGGGATTTTAGTTCACTGATACAGTTGTGAAGAAAGGGTAGAGTTCTTTGAGCAACTTCCCAAGGTCGACAAAGCAATAAAAGTAAAGCACACTGCCTTGAAAATAAATAGTTCCTTAAATCTAAGAGACATGGGTTTCCATTCAACAAAGTTTCGCGCAGCTGCATATATTTCTCACGAATCAAGCAAACACCAGACCACATATCACCTGAATTTGAATAGCTAGACAACCACTCAGGCATTTCTACAAAACAAAACATTAAAGTTTCAACTAAATACATATTGCTCAAGTTATGTGGGCAATATAAAATTAGAGAAAGTATAAAAGTTATTATATTTCAGTCCAGGAAATGTACTTTCATGTAATGTTTCAATAACACAACAACAAACAATATTTTCCATTACCCACTTAAGTGTAAGACTTTACAAATACTTAAACTTGAACACCTAAATCAAAATCAAACTCTTCTTTAGTTTTATATGTAATGGCAGATATCAATCATCTGTTATGAACCCTAGAATGAGTAAAATATTTTATAGTGAAATTTTGTTTGAATTTAAATTTAAAAAAATTCAAATCTAACTAAAATATTTTTCCTTCAAATAGAAAATTATTAAAGACCATTTATTGCAATGGAAATCACCTTTGAAATTATACTACTTTTATTGGTATTGCACATTTTAACATCAAAGGAAACCAGAAAAATTCCTTTTCTGGCTTATTATTCTTCATAAAGTAATAGTAAACAATGTTTTCCATTTCCTATTTAAATGTGAAAAATTACAAATACTTAAAATTGAACATCTAAATTAAAAGAAAGCAAATTCTCTTTATATTTTATGTACAATTACGAATTTCAATGATAACTGTTATGGAGATTAGATTGAATAAAATATTTTAAGTTTAAGTTTCATTTTAATTAAAATTTTAAAAAATATTAAAAACCACTTTTTACATTTAACTAAACTAAAACTAAACTCAGTGGCGCGACAGCCCATAGAGGGCCAAGACCTACTGTGCCCATCTCAGTTTTCTTGACGTTGGGCTCTGGGGTGCAGGAGCAGATGTTTCTGTCAGTTGGTCAGCCGAACGCGGAACCCTCAGTGTTTAGTTCCCAAGCATACTTGGTACTCATTTATCGACCCATTGAACGGATGAAAGGCTGAGTCAACCTTGTCCGCCCGAGGATCGAACCAGGGACCTGTGGCACGACAGCGCGAAGCGCTACCACTCAGCCACCGGGCGTCACTTTTCAGATTTACGTGGATGAAAATCACCATTGAAATTGTACTCTTTTATTGTTGTTATACATTTTTTTCAACGAGAAGTACAAATAATTGCTCTAACGTCAAAAGAAGTCAGTAAAATTAAGATAACATATAAACATAACATATGGAAAGATAACATATGGAATTATAAATTGGCGCATCTTCAATTCTCACCTCCAACATTTGAATTTATAACAAATTGAGTAAATAAGGCATCTAATTCGTCATATTGCACTAAAGCTTCATCATAGAGTCCCAACATCTCCAAAACAAAAGCTAGCTCTTCCTGGAGAAAAAAGAAATTTTGAAAATTCCAACCATGCTCATTTCGTTTCTCCCTTTGAGTACGCATATGCTCTTCAAACAAACTCAATTGACGGCTGTACGCTTGCAAAATCAACCAACGTATTCTTTGCAGCAATAACTGCCAAGATTCAGCAGCACGAGAGTCATTCCGATTTGGATCCAACAGAGATATGCACCTGTAATATAAAATTTTTAAACAAGAAAAATGGATCTCCTAATTGAATAATTTTATGAACATAATGATTATCCAAAAGGAGCAAACAGTTTGAAAAATCACTTAAAAAATGCGCAATTGGTAGAATAATTTGCTGCATTCTATTTCGGAAACTAGAAAGATACAATTCTTACCAAGTTTTCAATTTAGTCACAAAACTAGTCAATAGATGGGGATGCTGAATGGGAAAAATTAAATATCCATGTTCTGTTGTAAATCAGTCTTATAGGTTGTTGCATTCTGTTGTAAATCATTCTTATAATCATTCTAATACTCAGCATTGTCTTCCGTTGACAAACTTTGTAATTAATTTTGAAACTTAGAGAGAATTAACCTCTGGTTACCTTGGAAGAAAGTACTAAACTGTATCTTTCTATTTCTACACTTTTACTTAATTGATCTTTCAAATTGTAAATCATTTTTTAAACAAAGGGTAAAAAAACTGATAATAAAAACAATTTTTAAATATAAGCTATGTAAATAAATTATCTTAGATTCTCAAAATCAATTCTTGAAATTTGAAAGTAAATTATAAGATTTGTAATTTTCTCTTAAAAAATTAATTTTGATACCCGAAAAATGATGTTGACCTACTTCTTTATTTTAACATTTTAAGCTTATTCTGTAATTTTTTATTTTAGGGCTTACTATAATGTGTAGATCAACACTTCATTCATTCATCTAAGATATTACAAAATTCTTAAGCAAGCATACTTAAATACATGATTTTGAGAAATGAAAAGAAAAAGTTTAGTAATTTATGTACAAAAAAAAATTTATTTTTTTTAAAGAGATTACATTTTTTTTATCATGAAGTATATAAAAATTAAATAAAAATATATTTGAAATCATTCTTAATAGTCTAAATTATTTCTACATTAAAGTAATTAAATACATAAATAAATAAAACTAGATACCTCTGTGAGCTTTGGCTTGGGAAGTCACTTTTTACTTTGTCTAAAACTGTAGTTCGAGGAAGCAATTTAGTTTTATTTGATTTTCTGTTTTCTGAATGATCAACAACCACAATTAGCCAATCATAAATCTTTCTCGCTTTTAATTTTAAGATCCAGTTATTTATATTTTCCTTCACTGACTGCTTATAGTGATCAACATCCTAAAAAATATAAAAATCATTTTAAATTATTTAAAATTTATACATTTTTTAAAACATAAAACAGGCAAACTCAATGTTTCTAATGCTATATTTCAATCAAATAATAAACTCCCTTAAAAGTTTTGATAATAAAACACAAAAATATATATATAATATGTATATATGTAATAAAAACAACTTTAGCAAGTATTTTTATGTAATTTTTTTTATCAAAATTCTCTTTATTTTATTATTCAAACAAAATCCTTTCTCATAGATAGTAATCCACATCTGGCATTTTAGCTCTAATTTTAGATTAAAGAATGTAACAATCACTATAATAAGTCAATCCCTTAAGGAAATATGAAAACCTATGAGAAACTTCCTACAAATTATTCTAGCCTATCATAATTGTTATCCCTTGTTAGACACATAATTACTTGTCATTTTTCCCTTTAAAGACCCCTAATGTATAAAACGATGTGCAAAATTTTCAGTGTAATTTTGATGTTTGCTCTTTTCACCATGCCTAAATAAAGAGTGATATGCAACCTTGTTTGATTTCATGCATGCCAGAACACTCGCCCTTAACTCTATCATGTAAATAAATATATGATTTTTATCTCACCAAAAAACTAGAAATGAAATCTGTAGATAACTATATTGTATAAAAAAAAAAGCTGCACTCTGTATACAAAGCAATTAACAAGGTAATTATAATGCTAAATGGCATTGTTACTATCCTGCAAAAGTTCCCTCTTTTCAAATATATTGGCATATAAATGAGCATAAATATCAAACTTTTATAGCTTTATATTATCTTGAAATTCACTTAAATAGAAATACTACAACTAAATAAAAAGGTGATATAAACATAAATAAAAAGATTATTTTCAGTATATAAAAAAGAAAAAATATCTTAGAAACATTATAGAAGCTGTAAATCCATGTTCAAAAAATATATGCATTTCAAAATGAATTATAAAGCTTTAAAAAAATATTAAAATAAAAAGTTCAGCAAATCTATTTTTTTTTTTTTTTTTTTTTTTTTTTTTTTTTTTTTTNTTTTTTTTGCAAAATATATGCAAATAATAATAAATTTCGATGCAAAATATATGCAAATAAATAAAATTTCAGCAAATAACTAGCAGTTTTAAATAATTTCAGAAAAATTACAAATTATAATTTCTAAACCTATTTATGATATTAGAACCACTAAATTACTATTTCTAATGGTAGATTACAAAAATAACTGTAGAAAAAACAAGAAAAATCAACAGCAACAAAATAAATAATTATAATAAAATAACAGTGAACAAATATAGTCAGTTTACTGTATAGTCCATAGAAATAAAATAAGTATAATTGTAATGCACTAACTTGGCAGCTGGTCCAGTATATGTGAAAAAATGCTTGTCCTAGTAAATTTTTAGTTCCTTCAAGTGGAAGACGTTCCTCAGAAAAAGGTATGAAATTTCCAGTTACATACACTAACTTTGGATTTCTCATATGAGATCTAAAATAGTACAATTGTTTTACAAGAAAATTCTAAAAATATAAATTTTAAAAAATGCAATATTTCAGTAGATAATAAGTAAAAAATAAATAAAAAAACAATTTCGGTAAACTTATTTCTTTTAAAAATTCTTTATAAGAGTGTTAAAAAAATTTTATTTCAGAGTTACTTTTTGACTAGGCATATGTTTTAAAAAGTAAAGTTTATTAAAATTAACTATATTATATTATTAAGATGCATCTACTGCCTTGCCAATTAATAAATTAATTTTAAAGCAGAAAAATGAAATTTGAAGTTCATTTTGAAATTTTATTTCAAACAAATATTAATATTAGTCAAAGACATTAGAAAAAAATAACATAATTTAAATAAAAAGTTAGAAACCAAAAATAAGTAAAACGAAATTTTAAAGATATGTATGTTAGAAAAAAGCAGCACTTCATCAGGAGACACACTGGAGTCTTTCTGTAGTCAGTGGTTTAACCAAAAGCTGACTGTGCCCTGAGACCCCATAATGGAACAACTAAGTAAGAAAATGTGATACCTCTTATTTTCTTATTTAGTTTTTCCATAGTGGCACCTCTGGGCACAGTCAGCTTTTGGTTTAACTACTGACTACAGAAAAACTCCTGTGTGTTAGCAGACAGTGTCTCCTCTGATGAAGTGTTGTTTTTGCTAGCATGCATATATTTAAAATTTTGTTTTGCTTGTTTTCGATTTCTAACTTTTTATTAGAATTGTTTACATTTACATAAGACAATTTTGGTTTTAGCTGCTTTTAACACTTTTCAATTTTGACTTATTATTTTAAAGTTTTTATCTTAAAACTTGTTAAAATCAATTTCATACTTTGATTGCAAAAAAGTAACATATTTTTAAAGAAATGCAAAATCATAAAAGGATAATAACCAGGGAGAACAAAATAAGAGACTGAACAGCAATTTCAGATAAGTTTTGCCTAAGTTCAAAACACACTGCATTTCAATGTCACAATATGCTTACTTTATGAGACAAACTTAAAGATTAAAATATGAATAATTGAAAAATTATTTTTAATATAAACATTACTTAAAACAGTTTTATTCAAAATATATCCTTTAAAGTGAACTATCTAAAAAGGGCAAACTACATAAATTTTGTAAATATACACGTTGGATTGAAGAAATATAACCATTTATGATTGAAAGGGCTCTGAAAATCTACTTTTTGATGAAATATACACGTAACCAAATCACTATAGACAATCTATAAATGCAGACTTATTGAATGACAATGAGTTTAAATTTTTCGTTTAATGTGTTTCACCTCTTAGATAATATCACTGGCATTGTTGGTGGGAAGAACAGTAAGTATATTTCTTTGTCAATATTTAAAAATCTCTAAGATACTCTCGCTCAATGCTTGAGACAAATAAAGAAAATTATCACAAGCTATCATCAATTTGAATTCCTTAAATTTAAAAACAAGAAAGAGTTAAAAATAATTAATGTTTTTTTCATGCATCAAGCAGAATTACGATTTTTTTTTCCCTTATATGTGAAATTTTAAAAAATTCTGTGTAATTTAGTTTCATACCCCTTAAAAATCTGCCTACTGGATAAAATAAATGTAGCGAAACAGAATTTTGATGAAAATCTGGATTAAATTTGTAGTACAGGTACAAGCTTTTAAAGTTATATTTTCAATTTCAGTAACAATAAACAATGTGGTTCCTCATAAATATCCATGATGTTATACATGGTAAGCATTTAAATAACAAGTAAAAAAAATTTACACATTTTCAGTTCATATAGAAAATAATAATAATAATAATAAATAAACCTTTTCCATTCTACTGATTCTTTAGGTAAATTTTCTACCAAACTTTTTTTTAAGCTTACAAATAACCTCTCGTCACCAGCACCTGTTAAAAATAATGAAAAATATTATTTATGAGATATATTAAGTTCATTTGCAACTTCGAAATTATATTCATAACTATAATCAATAATAACTATAATTAATCAATAACTATACTTTTACTCAACTTTTTTTTAAATTTTATTTAACAATTTGGCAGAAAATAATTAAATAAGTTTAGCAATGGTAATTATTTCTGCAATTAGAACTTTTTAATTAGAAAAAAAAGCCCCTGGGTGTCAGCAACAGCTATAAGTAAAGTGTGTATTTTATGGAATTTTGTAAATAAGTTCATTCACGATATGTACATTTCTTATATTATTTTTTTAGTCTACTAATTTGTTATAATTATTTTAATTATATCATTTCAGTTTAAAATTCTATTTAAAATGAAGTTTTACACCCTTTTTTGAGGTTTGATGATGATGGAATATACTAAAATTAAACTCTATCATAAATTACATCATTTAAGTAAAAATGTGTTAATTCTTATAAGTGGATTTCCTTATAGTGGATTTTCAGTCACTGTTGATTTATTGAAAATGATGATTGCCGACAAATTAACCACCAAACAATAATAGCCTGGCCAATTTTTCAATATTAAAACCAATTATGAAAAGAAGTCTTAAGCCAAACACCATATTAGACTGGGGGGGATTTCCATATCGTGATCTGTGGCAGAATAATCGCCAAATCTTTGAAACTTCCGGGCAGTCGCCCGCGAAAAACTATTAAAAAAAACATCACAAAAAGGGACCAACTCGAAAGGTATAACTCATAGCCACCCCCAGGCAAACATCTTCGTGCTTTTTTTTTGTTGTTGTTTTTTTTTTAAAGAAATCTGCAAGCCTAAAATCTATTGGGCACCTTGGCGATTGTAATTGGTACGACAGATCACGTTACGGAAATATCCCCTAGACAGCGAAGTAGTCTTGATTTTTCACCGAACATGACTGTCAGCCACACAACATAGCATTGGCCTGGTTTGTGGACAACATTGTTCCTTCTGTGGTGGCCTTTTCCAAATGAATGGTCACCACACTTTTCATCGCTTCTTTGAACGTCGATCACTGAGACATATTGGAAGTCGAAAAGATGTCTAATGATGAAATTATTCTTAGCGTTACTGTTTTCCTATTTCTTTGTGTTCTGTTATTGTTATACTCTTAACCCTCTGTCATTAAAAATAAGGAGAGAAAAACATTGTCATTGAAAATGCACTAATCTTTAAAAAATAAATCATTGGTTAGAAATTTGAAACTATTTAACAGGTAAGAACTCCAAAGATTATGGGTTTTATCCTGATTGTCTCAATCCTTTCAGCATTCTTTTTTTTCTCTAACATAAAGCTTTTAAAAAGACTTAACATGTTTTTGTTCACAATTAAAGGTATACGTCAAAAATTAGAAAGTTGGTTTTTATTAAAAAACATAAAATGAAATAATGTTCGGTAGTTCATACTTCTTAAAAGACATCTAAATGAAATCACCAAAAGAAAACAAGTTCTGTAACAAATGGAAATTAAGAAGCACCAATGTTTCTTAAAATATTATTTTACCTTGAAATTGGATTGGGATTACATAATCAACTACAAATTACAATCAAAAACAAGAACGCTTTTTACATAAAAATTTATGCATGGTAGCACAATCGTCGTAACAAAATTAGAATTTACTTTTATGCGAATCGGAGAAAAATTTTCGGTACATTTCAGGAGCTATTTTATACACTGAGAATGATTATGAATCCAAAATTTAAACTTACAGGTAATGAGAGGCTTACTATCCATTTCAAAAATCTATTATGAACCACACTTCATGTCATTTTCCAGAAATTAAAATTAAAACAAAGGGGAAATGCTGTAATAATTATGAAATAACGAAAAATTCAAATTTCATTGCAGACGACAACCACCTCTCGTTTAGGAAAATAAACAAACGAAATTTGCTGCCATACGACATTTACTTAATTCCCATAATAAAAAAAATCTGAACTAAATGCAGCTCAACTCGACTTTTGTACCAGACGACGCGATTTCCGCCACGGTGTTTCATTTTTATTTGAACGGTGTGTAAATTTACAAATTGTCTGATTATATGAAATTTCATTACATGTGATAATTCCTACAATTCTCAGAAATTAAAGATGTCTTCCAAAGGTGGTCCTAGAGCAAAAGGAACTGACGGTGGTGATTTTGGACATCGTGAAAAAGTAGCATCCCATTATCAAATAAGGTTAATATGCATGAAACGTTGCTTATAATCTATCTTGTTTCACAAAAATTTGCTGTAAATAAATGTGTTTTGTAATAATTGAAATGTTGATTATGATAAAATAGTTATAATTGTATAATATATAATAGTTACATACTTTTTGATTAAATAGTTAAATGATTAAATTGTTTTAGCAAAGTTTTCTTATACCTCCTTGAAGTTAATGTTATGTAATCAGGTACTTTTGGTTTCCAAATTGTCTATTTAATTTGATATTTTATGTTCTTATCAATGGTGCATTAAATAAATTCTTTGCTTATATCCTTTTTTATGAGAATTATCAAACAATGTTTGATAATTTTTTTAAATCTTTATTAACGTTTTATTGATTTCTTAAATAAAAATTTATTTCTGTTCTACTACATTCTTTTATTTAAGTATCATAGACCAGTGTGTAATATAACCAAGACATTCTTTTTTTAAATTTGTTAAAGGTACTTTAGCTTTTAAAATTAACGAATATAAAGACAAGTATATGGTACTTTAATTTAATGTGTTTAATATGTTAAAAGTTGATGATTCTTTTTTTCGTTTAAAATTTCCGCCTAAATAAAATGCCTGTGTACAAGAAGATTTATATATTGGTACCTGCTCTATCTAATTACATAATAACACAAATGCACTAGCTGCTTAGCTGGACTATAAAAAATTTTCGGTTGAGATTTCCTCCAAAATTATGGTCCTTGTTTTAGTTATAGCAACTTTTTCAAAATATTTTTAGAAATTGAAGTTCGTATAGAATATTGAAGTTCGAAGATAATATTTTCATTAACTAAGAAAAAAGTTTAATTTTATTTTTCACAACTCTTGAATAATTTAGCATGTGTGTTAAATATTATAGTAATCAAAGTATATTCAAATGCTGCAAAAACTAAATTTAAGGTCATACTCCTAAACTTAAAAAATTCTAACAAATAAATGAACAACTAAACATATAAAGTTATTTTGGTTATATTTAACTCAACAGAAAACATAATTTTTCTTTTTGAGCACTAAGTTAAAATTATTGCAGACCAAAATTTTTCTCTAGGTTGTCTTAATTTCCCCTGGACCTCGTTGGCGCAATTTTGACATATCCTATCCCCGGGCTGTTTACAATAATACTTGCATTATTTGCTACTCAGTTAATTAACCCTTTTATCTTAAGATCTGAAAAATTAAATTAAAGATAACACTCAAAACATGGCTACCTTTACACTTTTTTATGCCATGATATTAATTTCATTAAACCAATTTATGGATCATAACCTTTTAGAATTTAATACAATACCACTAAATCATATAAATGGTAATATTATATTTAAATTTTAAAGTAATTACCGTTCTGGTTATAGAATATTGTTGATTGCACTTGGGGCCGGATTACCTATTGGGCCAAACTAGGCCATGTCCTGGGGCCCCCTTAAAATGGACTTTTTGAAAATAAATTAAGAAAAACAATGATTTTTCAAAATGTTATGATTATTTTTTAGTTCTAATTTAATAAAATAAAGTAAAATTTAATTTATTATTATTTATTTTCATTTTAAATATGCTTTCTTAAATGAAAAGATATATAAATACTTTTATATTTGAATTAAAAAAATATATATGAGAAAAAAAAAATTTTCTAAGGGCCCCCGCATACGCTTAATCCGCCCCTGGTTGCACTCAGTTCCCCACCCATATCAGCAATTTATTGTAAGTTCCCGATTATCTTGGTTCTGTACTATCTGACCTGGTAAAAAATGAAGAATTCTAAACTTATTGTTAACTAATCTTTTTTGGCAACTAATTTTTTTTATTTCTCTCTTACAGCTCAAGCAACAAAAGGAAGCTGAAAATAGCCATTGGTTTCCATTTCCTTTGCTTAATCTTTATTCTTCTGAAGTCAGCTCCCAAGATTTTGCAGTTCTTCGAGATTTCCTTGAAACAGTATGTAAATGTAAGTTTACCTGCTCCAGCTTTGTGGGAGCTTGTCTGGCTCAGTAGCGCTGTTTTCATACCATTTGCGCTTTATGCCACCAGAAAAAATTATCCCACTATAATGCAAATTTATGCTATCGGTACTTTTGTTACTGGTATTTCGCCATTAGTTTTTGGCATTATATATCATTCCAGCGATTTCAAAATGTTTGTGGTGTCTGATACTGGAAGTGTAAAAGTAGAAAAGTTTTATGGAGTTCCAATTGTGTTGATCACATCTGTTTTTATTACTGTTACATTCCTTATACATTCCTTGTCTATCATGACAGCCATGAATCTAGTTAAAGCATGGACTCCAAAATCTGGAAAGAAAAAATCTTAATTATTCGCTGTTTTTTAAATAAAAAAAAATTATTGTAATCAATGAGTTTTGTCTCTTTTTTTTTCTGTAGTTTTTAATCATTGACCTTCTAGGTGTTTTTTCTGTAGTATTTAATCATTGACCTTCTAGGTGTTAGCCCTAACTTTCACTGAACCTTAAGCCAAATGACATGAACCCAATTTTCTAAAAACTACTTTAAATTTCATTTTAAGTAGTGTTTAGAAAGGAAATTTTCAAACAACTAAACCTACAGTTTGAACTAGCCTATAAACTAATGTAGAAAACTAAGAGCTACTTAAGTTTTCTAAATCAATTTAAAATTATAATATTGCACAGTTTAAGGCATTGCATGTTAACCGTACAGTGCACCGCCATAAAAATCGCCCTGAATGATTTTTAATTTAATGATCAGATTTTCATGTACTAGGACTAACTTTTTATAGTTCAAGGGGGGACCTCAAATATGCTAATTAGCTAGTGCAGACTATATTTTAAGTTAAATATCAGACACAAGTACATAATTTCTCAGAATAAGCATAACTTTTTCTCAACGAATTGCGATCTCTGACGCCCAGAATGTATGGAGTAGCCACAATCCTGGGAAATATAGTATCAATAGTTAAGTGGGGTAAGTAGTCAAAAATTTAGACCCCTTAATTTTACATATTTCGAAAAATGGAATGAAAAATTTTGCAAAAAATAATAAAATTTAGTTTTCTAAAGATAATTCCAGGTAGAGAGCAATTTTTTTTTATGATTATTATATATAATAATAAATAAATTTTAAATTGCGAGGTAAGTTTTTCATATTTTAAAGAATGTAATTCTCTACGGCTAAATACAAAATCTGTATGAATTCAGTATAAACTGTGAAATTGAATTTTAAAAAAGTCATATATTTAAAAATTCGATTTCCCAGGGAGTATTCTATCATTTTTTTTTCTATTTCATCTCAGAGTTGCATCCTTTAAAATGATTTAAAACAAAATTTTATAATTGTGTACAAAAATTTTTCAATTTGCTTAAAATGTTCTGCAGATATAGCGAAATATGTAAGAATAATTAACATTAAAAGGGTTTAAACTTCATACTGCTCTTTTAAGCAAATTAATGGGACCATGTTTCTCAGATTGGGGAAACTTCCTATGTATTGGGGGTATAAAAAAAGGTATATGTTTATTCAGGGTTAAGTACATTGTTGTCTGATTTCGTATCTTGAAATATAATCTGTGCTAATTTAATTAAAGTATCAGACTAAGGCTAATTTAATTAAGGTATTTTTTTAAAAAGGCTTACATTTTTATTTTATGGAAGCAGGGGTCCTAAAATTTCAAATTTAAAGGTTAAAAATAAAATATTTTTCAAAAATGGGCAAATTTGAGCTCAAAGCTACAAAACTTTTCATGTCAGTAACAACTGTACAACAAATTGTAATGTATTGTACTTCAAAACATTTTTTTCTCTGTGTTTTGAACTGCAATCTTAATCAAAATTTCAGAAAGATAATGAAATAGAACTAAATATATTGTATAATATTGAATTTTTTAAAAAAAAACTTTAATAATCTTACTTAAAATGTGGTAAAAATAAAAAATTCAGACTTCAGCTTAAAGTTCAAAACATCGCAACATTATAAAAAATTCTATAATAAACTTTTTTTGTAACGTGTGTTAGCGTAGAGAATTTTTTCTCCAAATTAACATCCTTTAGAAAATCTCTAAATTATTGTAAAACGAATTATTTCAAAAAGTAATTTCTGAAAATAAATTTTGTCTTAAAAATATAATTTATTCAATAAAAATACTTAAAGCATAACAAAAAACATTTTAGAATCATTTTTGGGAGTTTGGTCATCTGTCAACATACAACAAAACTAATACATACATATATTTTTTCAACTCATTATAAGAATTGTAGATCAGAAATTTAAAAGGTTTTGGAAAGCTAAAGTTCAAATAAGAATTTAAATTTAAAAAAATTTGTTGAAATTGCAGATTTTCACTGTCAGAATATTATTTTACATATTTGAGCTTACCACCATGAACCATTAAGTTTGAGTCCTGTATATGAAAATCTAAAAAAAAATTATTCTGGACTTTTTTTTTTTTTTTTGCACTATTTACACAGTGTCCCAAAATACAAGTAATTTTGAATTTAAAAAAATTTAAATTAAAAATTCTGACTTTTTATTGATTTATTAAGTAGCCTATTGTATGAATGACCTAATACTGGCTCATAATTGCCTGCTCAACTATTATGCATAGATTTTGCTGAATATCCTACTTCAAGGTTTAAACAAAAAAGAAAGAAAATTACATTTTTAAAATCAGAGAGGGACTAATTTTGTTCACGAAAACAGGAAATTACAGAATCAATCTGCTCAACAATAAAAACTTAAATAAATTCATTTTTAATAATCATAAACTGTCAGCAGACAGCATTTTATTGAATTAATGGTACAAAATTTATATTGTGCATTAATTTTAAGGCACCTTTTAGTTTGTATATCACTAGATTATTTTAAAAATAGCATTTTATTCATTTTTTTTAATTGAACTGCTACACATTAATATTGCCTAAAATTTTTCTTGGAGGCACATGCATTCATCCAGTTCCACGGTACAGATTGAGCTAAGATATACTAGGTGAAAAAAAATTATTATATTAAAGTAATTATAATACATCATGCCGAATTATAAGTTGGCATCGTATGTGTAAGCAAAACAAATAAAACATCTGGTTAAAAGAAGTCTCAGATGTAACTTTGCATTAAATGGAAAATTTAATAGTGAGAATTCTCTCTCCATTATTAAATTCTTTCTGTAGCCTAAAGCAATGGTTGATATGACGACTTATTAATATTATTAAACTCATTAATAATATTATAGAAAGTGGGTTGAACCACTTACTACAGGATTAAGGAAAATACATGAAGTCGAGAAGAAAATTTTTGGAAATTGAAATAAGAAATGTTGAAAATTTCATCTAAATTTTCAAGAATATATTTTCTGTTGATTAGCCTTTGTTTGCTGTATTACTTCTAATTAAAAAAAAAAATGTTAGATTTTTGAAGAACTCTTCTAGATTCAAAATTAAAAATAAAAATAATAACCTAATTACAAAGTTTTAAAAAAGTTCTAGAACTAGAACTTTTATTTGTGCACTTAAAAAATGTACTGTATATAAACTTAAAATCGTCTACTACAGTTAGTTACTCCTCTTGTAGGTAATCTGCCACTTTTATTTAGCAACCATTGTAGATTTTAAACCTTTCAAACCCCAAAATATTACACAACTTTCTCTACATTTTTTCTACTTAGAAATATTTTGAAATAAAATATCAAATTGTTTCACACAATTTTATTTTTAAACATTTTTCAGCACACATGTTTATAACACATACAAAGTTTAGTGTAAATATCACAAAGCAATAAATTGTTATAGCAAAAAACTGGATTGAAAAGCTTGTGTGTAAATAACAATAGGAAAACTAAATAACATAGGAACTAAATAGGAAATAAATCTACCATTTTTATAAAGAAAAAAACTTCCAAGCTTATCTTTTTGAAATATTTAACATAAAATCAAGATAGCAATAAGTTACTCATATAGGCTCAAAATTCAAATAACAATTATACTATTTCATATGACACAATACATTTGAAAAGCTACTTAAAGAGGTCAAATATAACTTTTATAAAATTATTTTAGAAAAACAATATACAGACTTACATTATACCACCATTAAAAAATTTAATAAATATATATCAAAATCTTAAAAAGGATTGACATAGTTATGCTAAATAGCACTTTCAGCCTATCTATAATATTGCTTATATTTACATTGCCAGTCAGAATTAATATAAAAACTTTCACATTTAACAATTGCCTAGTTCTAAAACAGCACAATAGATTTTGAAAAATGCCTTTTAAATAAGAATTGCACATAAAAATAAGCAAAGAAATTTTTATATGATGAACAATCTTATATTAAAATGTTAAAAAAAATTATGTGTTAAGTCGTCATGTAATTAAATTAGCAACAGTTTATATAAATTATGCACAAACTACTACAGAAACAAATATAAATATAGTCTTAAAATAAAGCAAATGAATACATTTAAAAATAATTCTCAAATGGTCAATATTTTAAAATTAACCAAAAATATTTGATAATATTTCAATCTTTGTAATATTTCAATCTAATATTGATCATAATTCTAAAATACTCACATAAATAAAAATCATATGCCTGTAAATAATAACACATTTTAAGAATTATTAAATCAACAATTCTTATGTCTACTTTTTTTTTTTAAACTGTTAAATGTTTGAAAACTTTGCAATATTGGCCACATGTTATAATATCAAAATGATATGCATTTAATAAGAAATTAATTACCTGTCAGTACTTTTGAGTCTAGTTATATAAATAATCTTATATTTTGCTAAAATTTCACTCAAGGACAGTAAATAAAGAGAGTAATTTAATATATATAATTCTCTTACGTGGCTCCCAAATTTTGATTGTATTTCTTTTCCGCCAGTGGCAACGTTTACTTTGTTTTGTTTATGTTACTATTTCTCTTACACAGCGAATCGACCAATGATTGCCGCTAAAAATGTCACATGCCAAATCTAGCTGAGGTGGCTCAACATATAGCGCTTTTAAAAACGGAAACTGAAATAACCAGAGAGCATCAGCTGCGGCAATCTCATACTATTAAGCTAGGCAGAAGTGAGTAGTCTTTGTCGATAGATCTCTATTTTAGTATTTTGTCAAAAGCGCTTTTTTTCACGAATTTATATATTACGAATTTATTTGACGATTTTTTATTTACATTACGAATTATACTATAGCACATTTCTAATAGGTTTAACGAATTACATGTCATTTATTTGAATTCAAATTTATGTTAATGACTTAGTATTTACTAAAAAGATGTAATTTCTTTGATAAAAAGTTTTTATATGGATTTGAATGATTGTTTTCAATTCTTAGAATTTTGTGCATTTGCAATGTACCTAAGTTAGTAGCGAGCGAAGCAAACCATATAAGATTGCGTAGCAATTTTCGGGCGTTAGCGAGCAGGGGGCGCAGCCCAATAGTAATGTAAATTCAGATAATGTATTTTCTAAACAATTCATAAATTACAAGGCTAATTGAAACTATAAATAATTTGTAATGCCAGTAAATTAACGTATTTATATTATTATACTTATTTATATTTCTTAATTAAGCAACAATTTTTTAAGCAAACATTGGTACTAGTTATCAATAATAAATACAATCATAACACCATGAAGAATCAAACTCAAACAGCAATAATTTTAGTATGTAAATTCGGCAACGTATCAAAACGCTTAAGATCGTTCTCCAAGTTAGCATCAATAATGCCAAACACATTTGACTTTAAGCCTTGTGTCAACAAATGGTAACCATTTATTATATAATGGTAACCATGGTAACTATTTATATTTATTGCTGTTCAGAACTTTTCTGCAAATAGATATTTTTAGCTTTTCCATATCTCAGTCATTTGACTAATTTTTTTAAAAAATTTAACATTTGTTACAGAATATTTGTCAAATGTTGAAGATTCTTAGCTATTTGATCATTAAATTAGGTAAAAATTTGGTCGACATAAGAGTTAACAAGCAAAAAAAAAATTTAAAAACATAGAAAATAAAAAGAATAAATTGCATAGACTAGTTTGTTCAGTGCAACATAAACAATTAGGATTTAATAAACAAATACAGTACTATAATTCTGCGATATAAATTATTCTTTGGTTTGGTATCAATAAGCAATAATCATTAACAAATAACAGAACAAATTCAAGTTAAATTACACTTTAATGTTGTAAATAGAATAAAATAGTGCAGTCATAGGTGAAACTTTTGGAAAATGGCGTTAATACTTGGGCGGATTCCTTGAAATGAAAACTATTAAAAAATCCAAATTTATATTTTAGAAAAAAAGCGTAAAATCAGACTATTTTGTATTTAAAATAACATATTGATGCAAAAATATATAAAACCATTTAGTGTATATTTTACAATTACTTGTATAATTAATATTATTCCTTTTCTTTTTTTTTAACTTTATAATTTTGCACAAAATTCAAGACAATAAAAAGTTTATTATGCAAGCTGCCTGATAAACAATAACAGTTTATATATCGATGATCGATTCCAAGTTGACTTAACTTAAAATATATATAAAAGTTAAAATATATTTATAAGTAAAAAGAAGAGAGGAAAATACTCATTAGTAGTCAACAAATTATTGTTATATTATTATATTTGCCATGTTTTAATTAAAAAAATGTGCTTCATGTACCAAAACTTGCCGACATATTTTACACTAGTAGTGATGTTAAACAGCATTTTATTTTACTTTATAATTCTATCTAAACAGTGATTTCAGTTTTCCAGTGATTATATCAAATTTCTCTGTTACTCTGTTAAATTTCTATACTTACTGTTACCTAAACAGGTAATAAAAAATAAATAACACAGTGTTGTATTATAATACTAAAGAAGATATTTTAAATATAAACGCTGATAAGAAACCACATAAGAATATAATTCATGTACACATTTTATGTTCATAGACAGATTTTAAACACATAACAAAGAACACAAACAAACATAAGCAGATACATCATGTGCGTTTTTCATGTGTGGGTATTTATGTGCATTAGTGTAGCTCATTTATGCTCAATAAAATATTGCGACATTTACAATATATTTGGTCAAATTACGAGGAAAAGTTTTGTTGAAAATTAAACATACCTTTATTACATTAACAACATATAGTTATATAGAATAAATATTTAATATTAAAAAAAGCAGCACATAAACAATCTCACTATACAAACAAATGGTTTTTACATTGATGAATAGACACTATATTTAATTATGTTTTATCCAATCTAATTGAAAAAATCAATATCTATTTTTTTAGAATACATACTTTGGTACAATCCAGCATATGTATTTTTAGAAGTAAGAATTCCTAGCTTGTAGGTAACCAGAAGTTAAGAGATAGAAATATAGTTCTGATGATTTTAATAGACATTTAATAGCTAATACGTTTTATACTTACTATCCTAGCAATAATCAATCAAAAAATTATGCATGTTTTGTTCACTAATAAGTTTGTTAAAAGATTCAGAAAATTTTTTAACTTTAATGGGTATAAGAACAAATTGTATAGATCATTTTTTAAAAAAACCTTCACTTGAAAAAAAACAATAAAACATTAAACATTCAAAACATTAAGAATGTTTATTGTGATTTAAGTATTGAGTTTAATAATAACTTTTTCTAAACATTTTTTATTAGCATAGCTAAGGAGAAAGAGGCATTCCTATAACTTCATTACTATGCATGTCACCACATTTACATAACAGACAGACTTAACTGAAATTGAAAAAGAAAAGAAAGAGAAATTTAAAATTATTTATTCACTTAGTTTCCATACTTAGAAGATTATAACTATATTCATTTTTATAACACTTACACAGTGCAAAAATAAGACTTTGTAAAATCAAGGATAAGTTTTGTATATCTCAATGCACCTTACCTCATATTATCAGCATGATCTACTTTATTATTTTAAAGGAATAATCCAATAAAATAATATTTTGTTTACCTGAGAAACAATTTTTTTCAACTGTTTTGATTATAGCAATGGTTTTGATTGATTTATTTTTAAACTAAAGTAATTTTGAAATATAGATGGTGATTATCAATGGCATAAATAAATATCCCCGGATTTCACTGGTCAGAGAAGTAATACAAAAAGATATAAATTTCATTTCCAAGGAGACATGTTTGTCCAAGTACAAAGCTAACATTTAAAATAAAAGAAAATACATTTATAGCCATAGATTACATGCATAGAAAATAGGAGATCAAATTATTATTTTAACAAATTTTAATATTTTTTTATTTTAACATTCAGAGTAACAGGTTTAATAATACACTTTATATATAGTTCTATGCTTTCCGAGTACACATGCATAAAATATAAAATCGACAAAAAGAAATTTTAACACAATAAGATAAATCTAACTTTGCATTACCATACAATTGTGCTACTGCAACAATATCTTCAACAATAAAAATGAAATCTTTGAAAACTGGATTAAAGCTGTCATTAACATAAAAATCATATACATTAAACTAAAAGTGAGTTTTTATGAACATCTTTAGAAGTCCCAAGTATTTCCTCCAAAATCCAGCCAGAAACTAAAGCTCCCATTTCTTTACTGTTCTCTAAAACAAAAGCATGCTCAAACTTGTTTTTACACAGCCTTATATCACCCTCAGGGAAAAGCTCCCTAATGTCTTGGTAATAAGAATGAGGACACCAGTTGTCATTTGATCCGTAATAAAATGTAATGCGAGGTAAGTTTTCTCTTATGTTGTCAACATCTAAGGTGGTAACATTCTCAAGTTCATCCCGAGCCATGTACATGCAGAGTTTCGCGCAATCAGGCTGGAAAAGATTAAGACTTGCATTTGTCACACATTCTGGAACATTACGATCTTTAAAATACCACTCTAAGATTCGAGACTGCATTTGTGGACTCAAGCAACTTAAAGCATGCACACTTATGATAGCTGGAAGACGAAGGTAAGTCAGCACTGGCCAGACCCATTGACCTTGTGGACTAGTAGACATTCTCTCAATTGTAGGAAACAATAAGAAGCAGCGATTTACCTTAAAAATATATTTTATGTAAGAACTGAAATTTTAAATTTTTAAAAAAGCATTGTCACAAAATATTGTATATATACAATAGACTCTAGTTATATTGCACTTGTTAGGGGGCAAGAAAAAAGCGTTTTATATCTAAAAGTGCAGTGTAATGGTCATTGTGAAATAAACACTTTTTACTTTTATTCTGATTTTATTTTTAAGTTATTGCAAAAAAGTAAATTCAAATAATGATAAACTAATGTACTTTTTTATAATTATTTTCTTTCGATGCAACGAATTTACAGCAACCTTACTACCACTTATTAATTTTGTGAAAATTCTGTAATGCAAGAACTGCCATTAGATTAAAAAAAAACATAGTGTTTCATGAGATTTTAAGAAAAATAGCTCGACAATTGTTATCTTTCCATTACGAATGCTAAAATAGAATTTCAGAAAATTGATTTTAAAAAAATTTATTTTTGAAAAAAAAGTTTTTGCAATATAAGTAGATTATTATACAAAAATGCCAAATATATAAAATTTTTACTTTAGAATTTTTTTTCCGCATAAGTCAATTTTTCAATTTCAGGACACAGAACATTTCTATAGTAAGTAGGTGGTTAAGAGGTGATAAAAGATTGAATAAAATAAAACAAATATTTAAGCACTGCTAGTAATTAATTCACAAAATTAGCAAAAAATTTATTTTTTAAACTTTTCATTTTTTTTTTTTTTTTTTTTATTGNTTTTTTTTTTTTTTTTTTTTTTTTAATTTAATAAGCAAGTCAGTTTTTACAGATCAAATGGTAGAGAAAACTATACTTAGGTTTTGAAAAAAAGGAAACATGATAACTTTTTGATCTATAAAAACTAATTGAAAAAATATATATATTTCCTCAAAATCCTCATTTTACTGCAGCAATGACTTAGAGCTAAAGGCTCATAACTTCCAGAGAAAAAAAAATTTTAAATTCAAAAACTATTTAAATTCATTTAAATAGGCCATCATTAAAATACTTTTGACATATCTATCGCTTTTAATCTTAATTTGTGGGGACAGGGTAAGTTAGATTTCTTCAGGAAAAATGTTTTCAAATCAAAATAAGCATGTTCCATATATGCTACATTTAGCTGTTATACATATCATAATACAATCCTTTTTCCTGTATGATATGACAATTAACAAAATAAAATTGAATAATTTATTCAAAAGTTAGTAAGGGTGATTTGAGAAAAATACACAGAAAATACACTGTTTCACAAAATGTACTTGCATAACAGTCTCCAAACTGAATTGTTTCAACTACCTCTCACTTAAAGTAAGTATATAACTACATAAGTGTTTTTAAAAAAAAAAATTTACACATTTCTAACTTGAAGACTAGATTTATTTAAAAATTGATATTGCTATTATTTAAAGGACATTTGTAACATTATATTTCAATAAAAATAAACATGAAATGAAAGATTTCAATGAGATGCTCTATTACGTTAATATTTTTTCTAATGAAAACAATGAACTAAAACATTATTTCAAAGCATTAGAAGTTATCTAAAGTATGGTTAAACTAAGACCTTTGATAAATTTTAAAATTTAATTTTTATAACATCCAAGTTAAAATAGTCATAAATCTCAACTAGATCAAATATATCTTCAAAAGCTTTGATTTACAGAAAATTACAAAAAGAAGGTAAAAATAATAAACTTGAAAAATTACATAAAATTAAACAATAATCAAAAACAAGTAGCATCTGGAGAAGAATTGTTTTTTAAAATATACCTGTAAATGGGGTAACCTTTTTAATAGCTCAAGTACAATGTAACAACCAATGGAATGACCAATAAGTATAAGCTTGCGATCACGTGGAACATATGTGTTAATAAATGCCATTTTATGATGAATTTGTCCTTCTAAAGAATATAAACTTTCATTTCCTATAAAGAAAAAATAAGCCTAAGACAACTTTTTCAAGGCACATATGTTATGAGATCTGCTAATTCTTCACATCATTATGAATAAAAAAAAAGAAAGAAAAGAAAATGCATTTTTATTCGTGACAGATAAAGAACAAATTATCAGCTCACTTTTAATTATTTCTTATACATACATATGCAATCATATTAAACATTTTTTAATTTTTCAAATAACATTCAATCTATAAGAAAATTTTGCAGAAAGATATTGATGTTAATTATCCTGGTATGTTTTTTTTTAATTGAATAAGAATATTTTGATGTTTGTTTACCTCAAAGACCTTTTATCTGGAAAAATGTATTTATTTTGCAATAATTATATTTATTATTGCGGAAGTTTCGAGAACTTTCAAGATATGGGACTTTCCCTCATACAAAAAAAAAATAACGTTTCTTTTTAGACATTTACACATCATAAAATATTTATAATAATACTATAATTTTAAATATACGGCCTTGAACTCCATCTGTTGAAGCTGTATAGATGTGTTATTTAGATGTTTAAAAATCTATACAAATAAAATGAAGAACACACGTACACGAGGGAAAATTTTGCATGATATGTTATATGCTGCGCTTCATAAACAGTTTTTAATTGTAATACTTAACTCTATGCTTTAAAAATACACTGTTTAATAAGCCAATGCAAAAGTAATAAATAAATGTTGAATTAGAATTTTGTCACAAATTATACATTGCAATGAATTAAAGGGAAAATAGCTGCAGTGTACTAAAACTAATAAAGGTTACAAAATTTAAATTTTTAATTTTTTTTAATACTTATGTTACCCCCAAGAGTCGCAGAAAATTCTGAGTCACTAGTTAAGAGGATGCTATACCACACGAGAAACTTTACATTACAAATTCTCTTTCGCCAACATAAATAATTTAAAATTTAAATGACAAAAAGTCTAGAGAAAGCCATGAAGTTTCAAATACTGAAAAGAAATTTTTAAAGTATCAAAATAAAAAGAAATTAGGGGAAGATAAATTAGGATTACATTATAATTTGTTTGCAATTTGATATTTTCACATTCTTTTTTCAGTAATTAAAACTTCATTGCTTGCTCTAGGCTTGCTTGAACTAACTTTTTCTGTTCTTTAAATTTTAAATTACACATGAGGATGAAACAGAATTTGCAATGATAAGTTTCCCCCACAGTATAGCATCATCTTAACAATTTGATTATATTTTATATTCATTTTTACACTTATCATTTAAAAACTGTTTCAAAAATATTAATTATTTGTTACTCAACTCACCCCACTTTTTAAACAATTTTATTTTTTTTTAAATAAACATTTTTTATCAACATCTAACAGATTCTTTCTTGTACCATCAAGTAAATATTTCAAATCTGTTTTTATTTATTTATCTATATGAGAAATTTGAATAATTTACTAACACTATTTTTGATTAATAAACATTTAAATATGTGAAAAATGTGGTTTATTTACTTTTCTTTTGATTGCTTAAATTATAATAAAATAAATGCAATATTAATGCTGACCATCACATTATGGATGGAAAAGGATAGCCTAGTGATGCACTCTGGCCATTAGTAGGAAGAAGAAAGAATTAATGAGAGATATTCAAAGAAAATTATAACAGTGATACAAAAATTAATAAATCAGAAATTCAGAGGTTTGCCGAAAAGTGCCAATCTAATAAAGTATATATAGGTTGTGGGTGAATAGTAAAATTGCAAACTACTACACTTATTGCAAAATATTTTATAGAGTGTTAGTTTTTGGAAGTTCTGTTAACATTTTTAAAACCTCACCACATGAAAGCTGAAATAAAGTGGAATTTCTAATGTATTTTAAAATCATTTATATGTAATGGTAAGGAAAATAACTTTAAATCAAATTTAATAAACAAATAATCATACATTAAAACACAAACTTATTTAGAACTAGAAAAAAAATTTCCAAAAAACGTAGAAAGTTATAGCCCAGGAAAGTATGTCAGTTAAATAAACTTTTAAAAAAAAATTTCACGAAATTAATACAAATAATAAAATAGCAATTTTGTTGCAGCACAAAGAAGATCTAATACGTTTTCAAAATTAAATAACACAATTCCATGAATAAAATATTAGACAAATTAGGGTAAAAGGAAATTACAAGAATAAAAATACCATGAAACTTAAGACAATTAATATGTTTTAGTTGATGGATAAAGTTTTACGGGTAATCATTAAAATAACCAAATTTTAAATACCATAATCATTGATTTATTATTTTTAAATACAATTTTAAAAATTTTGCTTCCTCATAAAAATAGCGGGCTCAGAACATTCGTATGAACTAAACATTTTTAGAAACTAAGCCAAGGGAAAAAATCCTAAACAAACCAAACAATACTTTTTTAACATTTCAAATTTAATTTTAGACTCTTGACACTAAGATGCTTCTGTCAAAATCACAACAGAACTGAGGATTGTACTTTCTTGTAATTATTGACAAATATAGCCTCACTTCATAGCCATGAAACATTCCATTGTAATTGCATTGTTCAAATAAAGTAAAAAAAAAAAAAATCTCATTTGTTTATGATCTCACACATGGATATAACTAAGAGGAATCGATTCTTGACTGTACCAAGAAAACAAAAATCTTGATTTATTTTTTGTAACAAACTGATTAAAAAAAATTTGCAGATTTCTTTTCAACTGAATGCAAACCAGTTATTTTAGTGAAATCGGTCACTTTAGTAGTCTCATCTTCATAATAGTCATTTTAGTTGCCAATGGTAGCCGAGAAAATCTCCTTTAAATACTACCTCTAAGCAATTATGTTTATGGATTTGAATATCTTCCATAATATTTACATTTACATTAGGCTGAACTGAACTTTTTCTAAACTACGGCAATCCATTTTAAGAGAGAATTTTATCTTTGTTAACATTTAAATCCTAATTATGCAATAATTTAAATTAACCATCGCTAAGCAAAACATTATTCTTCATTCATTTGTTAAAAAAATTAGTAAAACAAAAAGAAAAAAACACTATTATTATGTAAGCAAAAATAAATTAAAATGAAAATGAACTATATAAATTTTGCTTTCAAATACAATAAAAAAATTTAAAAATATCAAATCAGTCTCTTATGTATGTATTATGTAGACCCTAATTCCGAAACAATTTTAAAATGATTTACATTGAATAGATTAATCTATAACATGTATTTTTCAAAAATAAAACTAAAAATCTTTTTATAATACTACCTTGAAGTTTGGGAACTGCACAACTGGGTGGAGCACTAACATGTCCAGCATGTGATATACCCCAAATGGGAATAGCACGTTGTACTCCTTCATACAGAGCTTTAATAAATTCAATGTAGTATTCAAGAGCACCAGGGTTACCTAAAATTAAAAATAAATAAAAACATTTTTGCGAATACTTAATATTAGTAAAAAAATTTTTTATACTATTAAGAATAAAGTTCATATGTGTCAGATAATGAAGTCATAACATTATGTGCAGGGTAGTTATATTTGCAGAGTAGTTTTTTCACAGAGTAGTTATATTAAAGAATGCTTCTATAGCAAATTATTAAAAATAATATAATATTGTGTGACTATAAAATAAACTTACATATTTGTTGTTTTAGTACTAGGAATCTGGAAATAAGAAATACTGCTAATGTAATAAAAATTGGAAAAAAATTATAACTGACTTTTGAAAAAGCAAATTAACATAAAATCTTAAAATCTATACAATTAATTGATAATTTCATAATTCTTTCACAACCGATACACAGGTTACTTTTAATTTGTCATTTTATTTAAAGTAATAGTGACATTCCAAAATTGCCTACCCAATTTGGTTTTGTTCAGTAAAGAAGTTATTTAGTACAATAGTACTTACTGTTACTAGCATTCTTTTAATGCGAAAAACAAATAATAGCATACTTAAATTTTACAAAATATAAAGTTATGCAGACAGCATTCATTTAATTATGGAAAAAAATTACAAATCTTATTTACTAAATATTGACTCAAAAGCTTGATTAATTTTAGTGTATTTAAAATTAAATTAATTTTAAATATTAAAAATAAATTTTCAACATTTCTTTCTACCACTTTCATGTTTGTTCTTTAAAAATTTATCAACCAAAATTGTTCTTTCTAAGTGACATCTCAACACATAGCATCACCGATGTGTCTTTATTTTCTTTTAAATAAAAATTCCTTTTACAGGGTTCCCACTCAATTTTAAATAAAAAATTCAAGGACTTTTCTATAACTTTCAAGGACCTAAAATCGCATTTTTCAAGGACCTATTCAGTATTACAATTATATGCTAAATTGCATGTCAACTAGATTTTACAATTACGCAAAAGAAGAAATTGTATATTTTTAAAGCACAATGCTTATTTGACAACAAATAAAAAAAAAATTTATTAAATTTATCATCTAATAATACAAATGGTTGATAGTTACATTGCTGTTTCAATTCACTTTAAAAAAATTCCAATTGACTAAAAAAAAAATTTAAAAAAAAAGGAAGAAAAAAACTCTCTAATTGACATAGGATACTAGCCAGCATTTAAAAACTAGCATCAGTGAAACTTTTCTTGAAAAATTTAATGAAGTGAATTAATGAAATTCAGTGAATGAATAATGCGTATTACATTAAACAAACATATTATAATTGATAAAGTTCATGTAATTGCACGGTTATTAAAATATAAATAATTTTTTAATATGTTAGATCAAATTTTAGGTTACAGGATGTGTATATAATTAGATAAAATATCAAAATATATCCATTTAACATATCTGTCTCAATTTTAATAACAAATTATCTATTTTGTTACTTCAGAAAATGGGTAAATAAATTTAAACTTTTCCTTATAAACATTTTCACCAAGTCAAGACATACTTATAAACATTTGTAATTATATTAAAATTAAATTATAAGCATCAAGTAATCAAAATTTTGTATCTCAAATTTGATGAAGAAATTTATAAACACTGCTCAAAAAATAATTTTAAAAATTACAAAAAAAAAAAAAAAAAAGGTTTCAAAAGTCGAAGCTTTGGAAAATTTCACAAGTCTGAAAAGTCAAAGAATGAAATTTGTAGTTCTGAAGAGGCAAAGTTTGTGCTCAATTGAATTTGGAATGCGATTTGAGATTAGATAGGGCTTGCAAGTATCTAGGACANAAGGACCTATTCAGTATTACAATTATATGCTAAATTGCATGTCAACTAGATTTTACAATTACGCAAAAGAAGAAATTGTATATTTTTAAAGCACAATGCTTATTTGACAACAAATAAAAAAAAGATTCATTAAATTTATCATCTAATAATACAAATGGTTGATAGTTACATTGCTGTTGCAAATCACTTTAAAAAAATTCCAATTGACTGAAGAAAAAAAAAATAGTTACATTGCTGTTTCAAATCACTTTAAAAAAATTCCAATTGACTGAAAGAATTAAAATTTAAAAAAAAAAAAAAGAAAAAAAACTCTTGAATTGACATAGGATACTAGCCAGCATTTAAAAACTAGCATCAGTGAAACTTTTCTTGAAAAATTTAATGAAGTGAATTAATGAAATTCAGTTAATGAATAATGCGTATAACATTAAACAAACATATTATAATTGATAAAGTTTGTGTAATTGCACGGTTATTAAAATATAAATAATTTTTTAATATGATAGATCAAATTTGAGGTCACAGTATATGTATATAATTAGATAAAATATCAAAATATATCCATTTAACATATCTGTCTCAATTTTAATAACAAATTATCTATTTAGTTACTTCAGAAAATGGGTAAATAAATTTAAACTTTTCTTTATAAACATTTTCACCAAGTCAAGAAGTACTTATAAACATCTGTAATTATATTTAAAATTAAATTATAAGCATCAGTAATCAAAATTTTGTATCTCAAATTTGATGAAGAAATTTACAAACACTGCTCAAAAAATAATTTTAAAAATTACAAAAAAAAAGGTTTCAAATACTATGATTTTTACTGTCAGGATAAATATTTTAAATCTTTCTTACTTACCTGGTATAAACACAATGAGAAAACGACCTGGATCATTGTCAGGCAATTCTTCATCTAACCATCTTCCACAAGTTACTACATGGGTCGATACACTATGCACAGTTACAAAATCTTGATGAAGAAATTGCAAATCGTTAACTGGTGTATATGATGGTATATCAGCCATTGTTATCACTAAAATATTTAGAAAAAAATTAGCACAAAATTTCCAAATTTGCAGATTTTTTTTATAAAAAAAAAAAAAAATTCTATTATACAACCCATATAGATTTATGTAATAAAATTCTAGTTGAAAACTTAACAAGATGGAAACGCTGCTGTGGGGAAAATTTTCTCATTGGTACTCTGATTGATGATAACTGCACAGTGGCACACTAGAAACTAAAATAAACTTCACAGATGAGGACACCTCAAAAGAGATAACCACTGTTGAAAATGCACCACACTTTTAAGAAAATATATATACATTTAAGTAAGCGCTCCGTTAGCATCTTTGCAATAGTAATTGACTTGAACATGTACAAACTTGGAAAAATCCTCTTAGGTAGTAGGTCACACAAAACTATCACTTATTTTTTAAATAATCACAAATAGAAAAACTAATGAAATTGTCAAAATCACAATTGATGAAAAAAAAATTTCAGTGCTTATTTCCTGTCACAAGTGTACTTAAAGAAATATTCTCAAGGAAAATATTTATTAAAAATTTCAAAAATCCTATATCATCTTTATTTTGTAAAAATGCCTCACAAATTTAATAATTAAATCAGAGCTTAGAAACTAACAATCTTAGAAAAAAAATTCTGTTTTTAAAATCACTTAAATTTCAAAACATAAATTAATAAATAGCACACTTAAATTGAATTTCTTAAATTAAGTTTATTTTAAGCACAGAAGGAAAAAAACAGTGAGTACAAGTGTTCTATATTTTTGCTTATTTTTTATTAATATTTTTCTGGCTTTATCTTTTAGTACCTATAGAAAAAAATTTTAACTGCATAAAATTTTAAGATACTTCTTTCGTTCTCAGTTTGAGAATATGAGTAGATACAATGCTATACATTAGGTATAATAACTTAAAATAAAGTAAAAGAAATAAAACAATAAAAAAGGAAAAGCAAAATATATTTTTTAATTCAACAACATAAACATTTTGGAATATTGTCATGTAAGTCAAATAGAAGAAAAAGATGCTATTTTAAACATTAACTTCATTTTTTTTATAATTTATTTAGTAGAATTTTATATAGTAATATAGTCTATAGTTTTTGTAGAGTTAGAGTTTTGTGTCACGTAGAAATATGAGACTTTATTTTATAGATCAGTTAGTTTTCTAATAATGAACATTTAGCTGCATGAAGTTAAAAACTAAAAATACAGTTTTCATGGATAGAAAATTTATAAAGAAATTAAATAATCCATCAAGTGATTCATATTTATGAAAAAAGATTTTTTAAACAAATCGACCTACTTAGATAATATTTTAAATGTTTAACAATTTCATAAACAATTTAAGTCAAAGAGAATACTACATCTAGAAAAACATTTAAGCTTCTTTAGAAAAAAAAGTGCAAAACTTTGTTAACGTTGATTTTATAAACAGCAATTATATAAAGAACGCAAGAAAGTTTTAAAAAAAACATGTAAAAGATATAAGAACCAGAAAGATGAAAAAAGCTTATTTTTGATAACAAATTTTTAATTATTTTGTTCAGACGATTAAAACGTATGAAACAGTAAGTGTATACAAAAAATGAAATTATGAATGACTTTTTAAGCCTAAATAAAAAAGAAGAAAAATATTAAAATTATGAAATAATTTAAATTCAGTGCATTTTAGATTATTCTTTTACAATTCGTTTCTCGCTTTATTAGGACACAGTTGAGATCAGTCAATCAAAATAATCTGCTCCTGGAAAATAGTTAATCATAAAAATTCAAAGTTGGATGAATAATTTTTCTACAATTTATTTTTTTATAAAAATATGAATTCGAAACTTTCTTCAAATATTTATGCCGGGAACAGAAAATAAAAAAAAACGATAGAAGTTAAAGTACGTGTACTCAGCATCTGATAATAATTATCTTTGAAACCTTTGGTTTCAAGTCAAATAAAACAGGCTCAACGTAAATAAAATTTAAATAAATATCAAAAACCTTCTTTTTTGATTTCATAAAATAAAAAATTAAAAAGCATGTTGTGAAACAAATTATGAGCAGGATTAGGGGATCATTCTCACTAAAAATAAATGGCATGCGCGAGCCGTTCTTCTCAATGGTCACAATCACTGAATGCGCTTTTTGCTGGAAAATATTTTTGGCCAATCAGATTCTCATTCTCTTTCGATAGCTATCGGAAGTGCGTGAATAGCATACAATATGAAAGTGGTCCTTTATTTCAAATTTCAGAACAATCACTGGTTGATAAAAATTTCGCCCCCGGCAGCCCCGACCACAGTTCTGACGAAAAATATCCTCCTTGGTAGACGAATCATTGGTTAGAGAACCCTTGCCATCAGGCTAGCCGTAGGAGGTTTTCGTGATTGTTAGCTCCATATAACGCAAATGTGGTCTAGTTCCATCAAAAAGTCCTCCAGGAAGGCCAATACTTGAACTTGATTCATGAGTTCCCTTGTCTTCTGGATTGGGTTCAAAATTGCAAAGCTACGGAGTTGAACAGCCGCAAACTCAAAAAAATTGGATTCACAGATCAACAATTTTTATAGAATAATAATTTTCCAAATTTTTGGAAAATTAAAGGTCATAAATTTGAAAAATGGAGCAATAGAGATGGTCTCCTTCATTTTTGTTTATTTTCCATGAGTTGTCAGCTTTTATAAGAAACGGCTTGGTACAAGGGTTGGAACTCATACTAACTCATTTTCGCCTTTTTCTCAAGAAATACTTATATAAATTATTTTAAAAGTTTAGAAGCGTCTGCTGTTCTAAAATGGTGTTCCGTGGAGCCCTAGAGTTCCGTGGACGGCTAAAGTCCTATCTCTCGGAACCCTTTCCGAGAGATAGGACTTTTTTACTTCATGGTAATGATTTTTGGGACCTTATTTATCTTTGGATCTTATTCATAATCGATTAGTTATTTATTATTTCAGTTGCCTTTTCGAAATTATTTAAAGTAAAATGCCACTGAAAAAGAAATGGCAAAATTTTCTGTTTAAAAATGCATAAATTTTCTAATATTATTTTAATTATTTAATAATTAAATAATTATTTAAATACGTATATACTTTTTTTGTTTTTTTACTTGAAAGATTGCAATTGATTCTAATAATAATATTATTAAGAGAACCTTTATTTATAAAAAATTTCATTGATATTTCCCATTGTGCTTTTTAAATCAAAATTAAAAAATTAAGCTCTTTAATAACGAAATATATTACTCTGATAACCATTTTCAACATTTATAACAGTTCTTTTAGCCTTCGTTTCAACAAAAAACCATAAGAGTTTTTGTTGAAATTTTGAAATTTTTGAATGTTTCTGAAATTTAACTATTTTAACAATTTAAACTAATTAACTTCGTTTCAACAAAACTCATTTGTTTCATTTTCGCTTACATATATTTATTTCAAACTTAATTAGTAGATACCACACCAGGAATGATAAATTCAACTATTCTATATAAAACCAAATTTGAAATTAATTAGGAAAAAATTTCATCTTACTCTTTTAATTTTTTGCAGAATAAAGTGGTATTTTATTGGTTAATACTTTAACAATTGTTAATATATACTTTATTATGAATGAAGTAGGGATTCCGTCGAAAAAGTTCGATAGTTCTAGGGTTTTAAAGATAAAAAGTTCTATCTGGGGCTCTATTTAGAGTTTAATAGCTGAAAAAATTGAGGTCTATTGGCTTAAGTCATGAGATTTCTCATACATATTAATGAAGATTAAAGCTTTTAGAAGTTTTATGGACCAGCAATCAATAAATCGAGAATGAATGAGAACATTTTTGAACACCCTATGCCAAAAATGCAGCGATAAGCTCGTAACTTGTGTCAATAACTGCACAAAATTTCGTAAACCTAGATTAAATATTCATGAAGATAAGGGCATTTTTATGGGGAAAAAATATTTTTTTGACTTACGTTTTCGTACTATAACTTCAGAAATATTCAATGAAATTAAATTAAATTTTTAGCATAATTTTTAATTAATAATATAAATATCATTTTAAAATTCTTTAAAAATAGCTCTTATATTAAATATGGGTTCTTAAAGTAATATTTTCATACTACCCATACGCGGAAAACGCTTTAAAAAAAATCTTTTATAATTTTGTTTTGAATCGTATTTGATAACTTAAAAGATAATATGATAAAAATTCGATTTGAATATCTTGAAAATTTAAAAAATATCTAGAAATTTTTTAAGCAGTATTTGTTAATTTAGACAGAAAGCAACCAGGGGTTTCCACAAATTTAAATTTTGTACTATTAAACAAGATTTGTTAAAAATGACCCTATTGAATTATTTAGGAATTTATTTCCTAAGACCATTACATTTTGATTTTCGGACTATCATTTTAAGGTATTATATTATTTGTTAGGAAATTTTGCTTCATGATATAAAATGAAATTTGTAGAAAACCCCTTATCATTTAGAGATTTCAATTTTAAAAAAAAGTGCAAAAGCTACTTAGAAATTTACTTGAAAATTTTCATACTTTCCAGATATTCAAATTGGACTTTTTTTTTTTTTTTTTTACCAAATGTGATTTTAAACGAAATTATGAACGTAAATTTTTAAATGTTTTACGAGCTAGCGCATTATGATAGGATTACTTTAAATGCTCATATCTTACGCAATTCTGAATTTTTTTTCATAATTTTAAAATAATATTTCTATTATTAAATAAAAATTACTCTACAAGTTTTGCTTAATTTTATTGAATATTTCTGCAGTTAGAGTAAGAAACTTAAGTCAAAGAAATAAGTTTTTTATAGAAATGTACATATCTTCATGAACATTTAAGCTAGGTTTACGAAATTTTGTGCTGTTATTTCATAGGATAATCAACAAAATTAACGTGAGTTACAGGCTTATACTGTGTTTTTTGGCATAAGGTGTTCAAAAACTTTCCTTTTCGTTTGTAATTTATTGTCGGTCCCTAAAACCTCTAAAAACTTCAAACATTATTGATATGTATGAAAAATCGCATGACTTAAGCCTTTCTAAAGTTTAAAAATAATTCTCTCTGTATTTCTTGAGAAATATGAAAAAATGTGTTAGAATAGAAATGTTTAAGTTATTTTGTCCAACCCCTGTAAATGGTAAAGCATGTCCATCGCATATTATATTATACTAAGAAACAAAAATAAATAGCATACTTTCTCTAAATAAATAAATGCTTTTCATAGGCATAAATATTTCAGTAAATATCGATAGAATAGTTTTCGAAAAATTAGAATTTAAAAATTTGTAACGAAATTGTAAAATTAAAAAATAAAATAAAAAGTTAAGGGGGAACAATACAGAAAAAGTTTATCTTAAAAAGGATTTTTTCATGAATTTTGTAACGATTGTGAAATGTACATTTTTTCTTTTTTATCTTATTGCACACGTTTCTTAATAATACACTTTTTTGATCTTATTATACTTAATTTAATCTTCGTTTTACAAAAACGTTAAAAATTAGTGTTTAGATATTTCGACTTCCTTTACGGATGTTTTTTTGTAATTTATGGTGATAAATAAAATGAGTATTAAAAAAAAGGGTCCGTGTCGCTCAAATATAAAACAAGTTCGGATTAAATATGAAACAGATTCATGAGATACTATTTTTATAAAATTATATATCATTCAAAATAGTTTTAATGTATTCGATTATTCTATTTTAATCAAAGTACAAGTTTTGAACGATGAATGAAAGAAAACGATTTTAAGCAAAATTTATCACTCGAAAAAATGAATGAATGTTACCATAGCAACGGATCACCCATGAAAACACTCTCTTAGAATTTAGAATTCATATAATGCTGCTTATTTCTGATGATTCCTCGATATTCTTTTTGGTATTATTTGTTTTAATAAGTTTAGAATTTAAAATGCACTTATTATTTACTTCTACTCTTCTAAGAAAATGGAATTCATAGTTTTTTTTGTAACTCAATCAAAAATATTTTTATAATATTTCACTACTTAAAGTATTTCATTATTTTGGTACCTTGAAATTACTTTTTTAAATAATAGAGTTTTCTTTGATAGTCTTTAATAGGGTGCCTGAAATCTTCGGAAAATACACAAAATTAGCCTATATCAGTTGGAGTACAAGCATAAAAATGAGCTTTTCAAGCCAAAGAAGTCTAATGGACAAATTCAATTTAAACATAGATCTACTGGATTATAAATATATTGAAAGCTGCGTTGATGTGAAACGGTTGGAGAAAATTTTGAAAGTACTCAGGTAAGCTCAAATTCATTTATTTATTCATTCATTAATTTATTTATTCACTTATTTATTTATTTATTCATTCATTCATTTACTTATTTTCATTTCCCAAGTAAAAATTGTGTAAATGCGGAGGAAAAATTATAGCACCTAAATTAATTTCAACTCTTTCGAATTAAACGCAAATTTCGACTAACTCCATTTTGGAACTTAGGTCATTTTTCTACAATTTTATTTTAAATTGTTATTATAGTTAATGCAATTGATGAATGGAAATAATATCCCGAGTGTATCGGACATTTCTATTTAGTATCTACTTCAAATTTTTATTTCTAATATTAATTAAAAAAATACCTTTATTAAAAAAATATTTTTATTATAACTCTGAGTGTTATTTTTTCTGAAGCGTGCGCCCTGAAGCCTCATGCAAGCCTTCGCTTCAGGGATTGCGGGTGTGGGTGTGTTATTTCCACCACTGAATTTACTTATAATTAGAATAATAATTTACTTCATATGCAGCTAACTCATTAAATCTTGTTACAGTACGTAGTAGGTAATAAATTTATATAAAATCGGTGACGAAACTGTGATAAATATACAGTGAAGAAGATTATATATACAGTCATAACTTTCACAGTTCGCAATTTTTTCGGTTGTGGAAACCTAAATAATCAACCTTTTTTTGGCGGAACCCCGAGATTTAATGAATTAATTTCTTTAGCAATTCTGATCACATAAATTAACGAAAGACTTTTAATTATTTTAAAAATATATAAAGATCAAAATTTTATAAATTGTTTTGAAAATATATATAGTGATTGAAAAAGAATAAAAAAAATTTTTCATCATATTACTTTATCAATGTTAGTCTTAAAATTGGGTCTGACGTCATACAATAAAATTCATTGGTTTGGAACGATATCTAGTTTATTTTTTAATATGATTTTAGTGCATGCATAAACTGAAAATGAATGAGATCAAATATGGTTTCCATTAAAACAAAAACAAAAAAAAAGAAAAGAAAAGAAAAAGAAACGTTGAGAATGGTTATCAAAGAAACATACTTCTTCAAGGTGGAAGGTGGTAATTTTTATTCGATGCAAAATACTAACGGAATTTTTCATAAATGCATATCTTTTTCATAATTCATTCATTATATATTATTAGAAAAACATTGTTTTTGAAATTTCTTGCTTCACAAGCATTTCAATTACTTTCACAAAAACAATGGAAATATTAAATAAATAATGGATTATTAACTGGATATAGTTTTAATTACAGGTTTCGAAAACCGTAACTGTTTAAAAAAATTACTAATTTTCGGCACCCCTACTTTCGGCACTTGACCCTTTCCCGGAACCCTAGGGTTCCGCGGAACACCATTTGGGAAGCGCTGATCAAACAGAAGGCGCTTTGTAATAAACAAATATAGGCTATGTCATCTTATGCAAAACCAGAGTGCAAAAATTTTAAATAATTTTTTGTAATTCATTTTGTAGAATTGCGCATAATTAAATAAAAATGTTATAATAAGAATATTTTACTAAAAATATTGTAATTATTCACATTGTAAATATTCTTATTATATAACTATTAAATATGGAAATTTTTGGCATAAATGGTAATGCAAAAAAATATTAGCAAAAATAACTTTTATAAAGAGAAAGTGGTAAAGATATAGTATTTCTTTTCGAAATAGTAAAAATTATTTTTTTATATGAACAAATACATAACGTGTATATTTACATATGAACAAAATCATATGAATAATTTTTTAAATGAACAATTTTTTATATGAACAAAATCATAACATACTTACGTAAAACATAACATACTAACATAAAACATTGCATGCATACATAAAACCACAATAATATTTAATAAAAACTTATTACTGACCTCCTTCACCAGCTTCTAGAGTGGGTTTATGATAGAACCGTCTATGATTATCTTTTTTCAGTAAAAGTGCTGAAGGTATTATGCTATAGTTTTACATAACATACGATAAGATCATTATGATAAAAACATATTCATCGAAAATCAGCATAAAACAATGTTACATTAAACCTTAAACATAACACAATAACTTTGCGAATAAGAGAACAAAAAAGGAAGAATGAATCATTCTGAAAATTTCCTTTCGTCAGTTAACCCATAGTTCGTTCGACCCATAAAAAATCGATTGTTCTTGTCTTTCGCAGTAGTGGGAAATTTCAAAATCAAAGCCTTAATTAAAAACTTCGAAAGAAAAATTTCCAACATAGTTGCCTAAATATCTATGCGAGATAAATTAGGAATAAAATGTCTATAAAAAAAATTTTAATACTACAAGATTACTTTCATTTAAACTTTTTCTCGATTTAAATTTTCAGTTTAAAATATTTTTCAACCAATATTTAGTTTTTAGCCATTATTTAATTTTTAACAAGAGTCATTTTGTAAACGGCTAATTAATAAAGGAGAAAATCAGTTTATAAATAAGTAAAAATCATTTTGAACCTCTCATTTGTTGTACAACATTCGGAAATCATAAATTTTATTACTCGTTTGTATTACTGTTAAATTTTTATTCTCTCAATATTATTATATTCTATATTAGGTATTTTCGAGAAGATTTGAATTTTTAAATTAATAAAGAACATCTTCTTACTTATGGTACATTTTTGTTTAGTAAAAATAATTGAGATAGTAATTTTTAAAAACTTTTAATTCATTTATCTTCTATTTATTTGCTTTTTAAAAATCATAAATTACATATCTGTATAAATATATAGATTATCTATATTATTTTTCAGTAATATGTGGTGAAATAAAATTCTAATACAATTTATTTCTTTTCTGTTATTATAATAGAACACTCATAATTTAAATAATACTTGGGAGTAGGAAAACAAAGACACTGCCAATCACTATCAAGGAAAACCGGATTAAAAATATCAAATCCAGTTTATTTGCCTGATAAAATTGAAGGCGTTTCTAATAATAACCCCTTTAATTTATTATATCTGTTGTGTCTCTCTTACTATTTTATCTCAGTGTTATTGTAATAGAACACTCATAATTTAATTTATGCCAACTGTTAAATTATGAGTGTTCCATTATCCCCGGCTTTAATACATATATTTAAAATCTTTGCACAAAATAAAGTAAAAAATATACACATAAGGGTCTCAAACTAATATTTGGGAGTATGGAAACAAAAAAATTGCCAATCACTATCAAGGAAAATAGGATTAAAAATATCAAGTCCAGTTTGCTTGCCTGTTAAAATTAATGGTGTTTCTTAAAATATAATCATAATTTCTAGAATATAATTAGAATCTTTCAACTTCTCTTTTCATCCTCGAGGCAATCACACAGGTTTTGATGGGGTTTTTTTTTTAGTCTCGCTTTCTTACTAATGATTCGTCAGGTTTCGATAATATTTTAGGATGCTGAAATTAGATTTAGGTTATCACGGACCTTTAAAATTTTAAAAATTTTTGTCAAAAATAATATGTTTGTATAAAAATTCCAAATTTATAAATCTTTAAACAACAAAGTGGCATTTTACAACACTGTTGAAAGAATAACACGATGAGCTTACAATAAAACTATTTTTTTTTTAAATTTATAAAATACTTTTTTCATTCACTTTATAAATAATAATAGCTCTTAATTAAACACTGATTACAATAAAAAATTATGATTATGAATATCTCTTCACCATAGTGTTTTTGTTTTAGATTTTTTTGATTAATCTAAAATAGGGCGCACTTTTAAATCATGCGGGGGTTGTTTCTAAGTCTATGCCACTGGTCCGTGATCATCACTTTTAATACATATTTTTTGAATCTTTGTTAAAAATAAATTCAATGAATGTAGACATAAAGGTATACGAATTCAAACATTTTAGTTCTCAAATTTTTTACTTATTTATTGTAGAAGTGGAGAAGAAGGGCTATTTCCTCATTTAATATCCTTTTGCGAACAGAAACTCAGTGAAAAAGATCCAGAAAATGCATTATTGAAAAAAGAAAATATGATAAAGCGATATGCCGATCTTCCTGTAACAGAGAGAATGCAAATTCAACAAGAGATAAAGGTAATGCGAATATATACTTTAATAAGTTATCACAATATTGTATTGTTTCTTTTTATAATTTTTTCAAATTCGATATTATTTGCAAATTTCAGAAAACAAATTAAAGAATATTATCTTTTTAATTTACAAAAATTCAGAAGTTGTTATAGCATATATGTAAAAGCTTTACTTTTTCAAAAAACGTTTGAACTAATAATGACGAAAAATATCCTCGGTGGTTAACGGATCATGGGTTAGAGTCCCCTTGCTGTCAGGCTAAATGTAGGAGGTTTTCGGGATTTTCCTCTCCATATAATGCAAATGATAGTTCCTTCAGAAAGTTTTAAAATTTTAAACATATTCAATGAATGGCTGGTAATTGTTGATGCATTTTTCTCTTTTTTTTTTTAATTCACCGATTTTTCGTTCTTTGAAAGCAATTTTCCGTAGTTTATTTAAATTTTACTATTTAGTGTTTCGAAAACTTTTATTACCAAAATAAACTTTACTATTGTTATATTTGTTGTAAAATGAAGCTTATTTTTATAAAACTGATTACCCGAAATATTTTTATGTCTATACCAAACAAACCTTGCTGATGGTAAATCTATCTATCTTACCTAGGCTTTTCTATCTTTTTTGAATTTCTCTGTAGAAACAAATAACCGTTGTCTTAAGTAAAAAATAAAAATGCTTCGCAAAAAAACTCCTCTATAGAATGCGAATCTTCGAATGAAATCTCGAAGAGAAATGAAATGTGCCATACAAGCAACTAAATCTCTTTTCTTCTAAACCAAATTTCACTTACGATTAACTCTTTTTTTTTCCAACAAAGCAGCTATTTTTATGTTTATTATAATATTATGGATTTAAGTCATTTTTTTTCTTCTTTCCAATGAAAAATGTTTGGAAATAACGTTTTAATGGAATGAAGAAAAAAACTAACTTTCATCTACAAATAAAACAGAAATATTCCTTCTAAATAATCGAATTAGCAAAACATTTATAGAGCAGTTTTTAGAGATGTATCGGGAAATCGGTCAACCACTGCACGGTAAAAAATTTCAGAAACTAATTTCGACTGGACAAAAATGTTACCGAAAATCTCAGTGAATTTCATTTAATATCATGTCAATTTTTCACTATTTGCGTAATAAAATTTTCAGATGCAAAAAAAAGAAGCATTTTTTATGTCTGAATTCTTAAAAAAAAGCCAACATTTCCTTGGTGAAAACTGCTACCAATTCATCTCTTACTCATCCCTAGGCAGAGGAAGTATACGTCCGTAGACCGACAGAGAATATTCTATTCAAGTTGTAGATAAAGCATTAAAAAATTACAGAATAATGAAAAAAGAGAAAAAAGAAATTATTTAAAAAAAACATTTAATAAAAAAGAAGAAAAAGAAGATATAATATCTTCATCAGCTCACATGATTATATCCGCATAAAGGAGTGCTTTCTAATATTGTATCAATTTCAATTATAATCATTTTAGTTTTTTTTTCTCTTTTTTTATTATTCTGTAATTTTTCCAAGTTTTCTTTACATTTTGAACTTATTTTATAAGCTCTTACTTGTTTCTTCGCTCAGTAAATAAAACTTAGTGATTGTCTTAATTTTCTTCGTTTTTCTCTTCTTTTTTTTTGTTGTTGTTGTCCTTTTTGTGTTTATTCATTGCGCTATATATGTAAAAAAAAAACTCTGAAATTACACTTCTTAAGTACTACGAAATAAAATATTCATGGATATTACAAAAGGAGGTTTTCGAAATAGTCAGAAACGTTTTTGAAAACTACATGCAACGTAACTGCCCCACATATTCAGAAACGTTTCGGGATTTTTTTTACAGTGTGTGGATATTTTTCATTAGGGCTGTGGTCAGCACGAGCAGGATACGGAATTCATATCGACCAGCCTTTACTGGGATTCCATGCCGGACGCATGTGACCAACTTTTGCAACTACAGATTATAAAGAGAGATTTTGAGCTCGATTGGATTTCTCGGCAACGTCTTCTGTTGCGTCTTTTTATAGCTCTTTCCCAATATCGTTTCTCCGTAATTTGTTCACAAAATCTAAATCAATAATAAATCAGTTCTAGTATATTTCTCATATTAATTTTAAGTCAAATGTTAAAGTTTTCTACGGAATATAAAATAGCGTCATCAGTTGTAGCCTAGCGTCATCTAGGCCTGTCAATAGCCTAGTTAAAACTAAACCAACTAGTGTTGGTTTAGTTTTAACTAGGAGCATAGTTGGCTTATTTGATTTATTTCCTTGACGTCAAATAATAGTTATTTGGATTAAAAAACATTTAACAAACACAAGGAAACATTCAAATAATTCATAAGAATTCATGCGTGTGATAATTATAAATTTGACGAATAAAGCATTTCCCTTCAGAATTAAATACAAAAATTTGTTTTAAATAACCAAATTAGTTATTTAACAACAAACAAATTCTTTCTCTACGAAGTTTCGAAGTTCTGGAATTCCATTTTGTATTCGTCAGTTCCCCCAATTCTTTTACCTACCTGTTAAAATCGTCTAAATTTCGGACATTGCTTCTAAGGGAGGACGAGTTCATTTATATTTCATTCCGAGGAGAAGGTGAAAAAACTGACATTTCAAGTTTAAAAAAACAGCTTTAGTACAAAAGCACTCTATACTTAAAATAACAAGTATAGCAGAATAAAATAGCCATACGTCACAGAAGGCGTTGCAAAAGAAATCTTATCTGTAGTTGTAATAGTTACATGCTGCCGGGTTATCTTAAATGCTATTATTCCGTTCGTTTGTTTTTTGATTTATATTTTTACTCTTTTATATTACATTTTTACAAAATCCGTTCTGTCTTTAGGTTTTTATTAATACTTCATTTTTGTATTAATTCACAATTTTTAAAAATGCATCATTACTTGACTTTTAATAGGAATGGTCAAGTCCAGCAAGCTATGTAGAGGAAAAGTGCGAGAGAGAGTTAATCCAAGTTGAAAATGATTTACCACCTATTAGAGAGCAATGGAAACTTACAAAAGAGTCAAATGTAAGTGCATAACTATACAGGGTGTTTTGTAATGACAGCTCTTAAAATATATATTAAAATGCTTTGTCAAAAGTGATGCAAAAAAAGTATACACATAAGGAGTCACAAATTTATATTGATCGAGATCTGAGGGCTCTTCTTAGGAAAACAGGAAGGAAAACATCACATTCTGTTTGATTACCAGCGAAATAGTTGATTATTAGAAATTGGGACGGACTGGGAGTTAGTAGCCCAGGGTGTGGCACATTGAATTTAAAATTTATAAGTAATTGTAAGCATTTTTTATCGAGCTAAATATTTTACATTAAATTTTAAAGCACCTACCTTTTAGTCGACACAGTTTATATTAGAATTTATTGTAAAAATTTTTTAAAAAAGTAGTTTTGTTTGACTTTAATTATTATCAATGAAATATATCTCAGAAAACTAGTTTGTTCGGTTCTCAAAAATATTTTTTACTTTTTTCTCATCCCTAGACATTCGAAACAGTTACCAACTTCGTTTAAACTAGTGTAACCCAAAAAATTTCTTAACGCATTTTGTTATTACTCAATCAATTCTCTGAAATAAAAATGTTTGTCATGTATTTTTCACTGAGAGGTGAATTTCAATTTTTAAGAGCTAATATTGAAAACAATTTTTTTTTTCTAAAAAAGAATAGACAATAAAACTAATAATCTTTCGAGTCTGCAAAAAATATTGAAATGCATTCATTGTTATAAGTGTTATGAAACTTTAGCATTTACGTAAGTATTTTTCATTCCATAACCAACTTGAAATCATAAAATTCAGTTGATCTAGCTCAACTTATTTCACTATTTCGAGACGTTGCAGCAATAGAGACGTTGCAAATAGAGCTATGATACTAATATCAAGTCAAGGGATAAGTATCAAAATCTCTAAAAACATACATGTAAAAAACTTTAATTCGCATTAACTTTAATTCGCATATGATACGAGTTCGGTTAAAAAATTCTGTGCAGCCTACATTTCTAATACACTATTGAATGTTTTGGTTAGAGGTATTGCTCTCCTTTGTTTTTTAATTATTGCTAATAACTGCGTTTGAGGGGCCATCTGAAGGACAAATTAATGATTTTTTTATAATTCAATGGTTCAAAATAGAACTTTGATATCAATATGGAGTCAAAGAATAGGTGTCAAAATTTCTAAAAACGTATACATATGCTTGAAAATATTTGTAAGTAATTTTTTAAAAAAAAAACTACAATTTTGTCCTTCTCATGCTGTATAACTAGCAACGGTGTCGCTGAATTCAATTATGATGCAAACATGATATGAGGCAGGTTAAAAGATTCCGTGTAGTCTGCATTTACTGTATACTATTACTGTCGGTTATATGCATTGCGCTTCTTTGGTTCTTAATTATTGCTAATTGCTGCATTTGAAGGGCCTTTTGGTGGACAATGCAATGATTTTTTAAATTTTTTTTTTCAAAATAGAACTTTCATATTAATATCAAATCAAAGGATGGATGTTAACATTTCCAAAAACGTAAACATATGCTTGAAAATATTTATAAATCATTTTTAAGAAAAAAACTATTTTGTGTATAACTCATGCTGTATAACTAGCAACGGTGTCGTTAAAATCAATGATGATACAAATATGATATAAGGCATGTTAATTTCTAAAAACGCATACAAACGTATATAGTGATACTTGGAAAATATTTATAAATCATTTTTTTTTCGAAAAAAATTATTTTGTATAATTTTTTTGGTTTAAAATGGAGCTCTGATATTAATATCAAGTCAAAGGATGGATGTCAAAATTTCTAAAAACATATACGTATGCTTAAAAACATGTATAAAATATTTTTTACATTCTTTTTTTGTTTATGTTACTCTATGTAGTTAGCACAGGTATTGCTAAAATCGATGACGATGCAATTAAGATATGAGGCGGGTAAAAAAATTCTATGTATCCTACATTTAATGTATACTATTTTCCATTTCGATTATAGGCATTGTTCTCCTTTGTTTCCTAATTTTATTTTATTTTATAACCGTCGTTGAACAGCCGACCCAAATCCATGGGTTTACGACTACTTACGCTCAACTCCGTAGCCTTGTAATTTTGAACCAATCCAGAAGACAAGGAAACTCCTGGATCAGTACCCCCAGAGGTATTGATTTGTTGTGGGAACATGGAGGACTTTGAGACTCGACAGATTTAACGTGCATCAGTCACCATTTACTACACGGGNTCCCGCTTTTTTGAGGAAATAATAAAATACTACGGCCTCAATTTGTTATAATTTGACCAGACTACATCAAATGAACAATAGTTATTCATTGTAGGTTCATAAAAATTTAAATCTTATTTATAATTAAGATAAAAAGGAATTGAAATTTGAATTCAATATATCGATTTTTAATTTAAATTTATTTTCTTTAATTAAATTTCTTCCTTAATTTCTTCTTAAATTTTCTTGATTTGAAGAACCCTATCAAGAAATTGTAAGTTTTTATTTCTTGAACTAATTGTTAGGATTAATTACTTACCCCTCGAACGAGAAAAATTGCAGTTCAGAATTTCAATTGCAGTTCAAATTCAAAATTCCGATCATTTAACTAAAAGTTATAATTTAATGATAAGATAGTTATCATAATGAATATCGTTAATAAAACTAGGATTTTTTTTCTTCAATTTTTTGACAAATTTTACATATTAGAACTTTGAATAAATTAGATTATTGCAGATAAATTGAAGTATTGAAGAAGGTAGTATGCCAAAATATTAACTATGAGAACATATTAAATATTGTAATAGTTTTATCCTTACTATATCTCAATTATCATTTCAACAATCCTTTAGAAAAATGCTTTTGATTTAATTTATTTTAAATTTTTCAAGTCAGTTCTATTAAATAAAGAAAAATTAAGAAAAATATGTATATATGCTTCTAATTTTAGGAGAATCGTGAAAAAAGCAATGGAGAAAAGGGGAAAATCTCAAAGCCTCGGGATTATAAAGATTGGGATAGGTAAATATAAAATTTCATTTTGCAATATTATATATATATATATACTAATTTTTCTTATATTTAGATTTAACGTTGATGAAGAACTGCAAAAAATTGATAATGAAAAAACGCAGTCAGAGAAAACAAGGACGTCCTTAAACGCTATAACTGAATTATGCGATAAAATATCCGTAAATGGTGAGTAAAATTCTTAAAGGATCATTTACATTCTTATTATCGGTTTTCGACAGGGCCTGATAATTGCCTAGGCCCAATAGGCATGGGCCTAGGACCCACACTTTCTGGGATCCTCAAAAATTAGTAAAAAGTCCACAATATTACTTTTTTTTTAAATACTGAACGAAACAGTTTTTCTCAAAAAAGGCATTTTTTTATTTCAAATTTTCTTTATATTGTGATAAACCAAACTCGTGTAAGCATCGCACTAATCAAATTCAAAAGTTCAGCTGAATTTTAATTTTTACTTCAATGGCTTAAGCAAATGCAACGAGAATGCATATTCGCAATGTCTCTTATAAATGATTAGTGTCAACAAGCACTGAAAGCTTATTACTAACAAATATGTAAAGCTTTAGATGGAAGGCTACAATCTTTAAAATAATTCAGCTAATCAGTGGCATTTAGTAAAAATCTCTGATTTCAACTCTTTGTGGTCACCAAACTATTTTTATTTTCACACAACATTTTACATTTTGCTTTAATATTTACTAGATGCGTAAACTTTATCTTAGAAAAATAATATTCAATTGTCTGCTTTCAAAAATTTTAGAATGTTTCTCTTGAATCATGCAGTTCAATAGATTCTTTTTATTGTTCGGACTACTCTTCAGCAATTTAATTTCAAAATATTTTGTTAGGGGCCCTGAAAATTTTATGGGCCTTGGGCCTGAATTTGTCTTGATCGGTTCTTGGTATTGGATATTTTCATGTTTTGAATTGGAATTATCAAAAAAATGTAATAGTTATAATAGTTAAAAGTTTATTGCGGACTTTTCCAAATGGAGTGAAATTGTGTACACTGCACAAAATAAAAAATGGAACACCGTGAATACCTTTTGATCTAATGATAGAAATTTCCCGAACTGGGATTCAATGTTAATGATTTGAGGACCTTACTTTTAATATGTTAATCAATTGGAGCAAACGATAACTTAAGTTTTAAATTTAAAAACAAAAACGTTTTTTTTTTTCTAAATTTTTTTTTTATTTTTTTTTTTATTTTTTAAATTAACATATTTTTTTTCGACGGATTTTGATTCTTGACCCTCAAAATATAGGGAGTACTCGCAATCTGGAAAGTATAGTCCCTCCTATAGTTTAGGCAACAGAGAGGTCGAACCCTTTAATAGTAGAATTAACCTGTTAGTTTTACTTTTTGCGTGTTTCGTCATGCATTCGGGAAATTCGTTTATCCGAAGATAATTTCATACAAAAAATAGTTTTTAATAATTATTGATCATTATTTAATAATAGACAAGAAAAATTCTGCATTTTAAGGTGTATAAATTTTTACCTCATTTTAAAGAATGTATTGCTAAATGAAACCAAATAAAAACAAATTTTGAGTGAAATCGGATGAATAGTTTTTGAGAAATTTTAGGGAAGTCGTATAGTTAAAATTTTATTTCTAAAGAACTATGAGATCGACTCTATTCATCTTTTGTAAGTTGTCATTTAAAAACACATTCTTTGAAATGATGTATAAATTTATAAAAAATTTTATATTTACCATTTAAAACTTTTTCGCCCACGATTAAATAAAATAATAAAATGTAATAATTAGTTATCAGAAGTCATTTTTTCAATAAAATTGCCTTGGATAAACGATTTTATTAATTGCGGGCAAAATTTTTCTTTCCACTTAAAAAGTTCTCTATATAAGGTGAAATATGCAAAAAATGAAATTTACTTTAAGGGGTCTAAACTTTCGGCCGCACTCCTGACCTAATTATTGGAACAAGAGTTCGGCTCATATTTTATGGGTCAAAATCCGAATCCGTCGAAAAAAAGGTACATTTATTCAGAGTAAGTACATTTTTGTGTCTGATTTTGTGAATTAAAATATCATATGCACTAATTACTTAGCATATTTAAGGTGAGAACTTCAAACCATTAAGAGTGTCCCTTATTACGTGAAAGTCCGATCGTTAGATCAAAAGTTATTTAGGATGTTCCTTTTTTTATTCTGTATTGTACATATTAATATATTTTGTTGATTTCTATAACTACGCCAATTTCATTTAAAAATTGTCCTTCTTAAAATACTCGATCGTTTTTTATTAATGATATTCTAAAACTACCTTAACGGATGAGAAAGCGTGTTTTATGATTTTTTATTATTATTTTTTGGCACATATTTTACATAATTAATATTCCATTTATTTTGAACTTTATCTTAAGCAAAACGTAAAAAAAAATTTAGGTTGAATATGAATTTTTTTCTTTTCCTCTTTTCTTTTGTAAATCAGATTCAAAATAGTTTTTTTACTATATCACAGGGGGAAAAGAGAAAAAAAAAGAAGAAAAAAAAAACAGAGTCTATTCTTTTCAAGTATTTATTTATTACTTCACAAACATCAATGTATCTATTACATCTAATATTTTATTCACATCTTAATTACATCTAATATTTTATTCATTACAATCGCTGCATTGCCTTCCTAAATGTTTGTGATTTACAATATTTCTCTTTAGTAATTTTCCAGTTAATTTTATAATAGCAAACTAAGCACATAAACAAAAGCTGAAACTTGAATATTAATGGTTTTATTGAGTTAAACTGAAATCTTTGTCCTGCAAGGACCATTGCCACATATAATAATAAAAATATGTATATAATAGATATGCATTAACAAACTGAACTCAATATGCGTCTATTGTTTCCAATACGAAACGCATTGCAAATTTTCAGCGGATTTAGACTTGTGGCAACATCAAACTGTAGTAAGAGATAATTAAACTTCCGTTATGCACTTGAGGGGGAGATTAGCGAGCACACCAAAATTTTGAAAAAATGTCAATCACAGCTAATTTTTAGGTTTCAAAAGAAGTTTGATCGTCGTTATACACATTAATTTTAACGTTAAATCGTTATGTCATTTTGTTTTTACATCGATTAAAAGTTTTTAAATTTTAGCTTAAATATGCTTTATTTATCAAAAATATGGAGATTTCGCACTTTTATGTTAGCTTCCGTACGCTCCTGTTCCTAAGAGTTGAAGCAACTGCGCATGCTCACGTTTGTTTTAGAATATGATACATATCTTTGCCATATGTTGGCGCTACAAAGACAAAACTAAAAGTACGCTGTTAATAGATGTGAAATGTCGTTTTCTGTTTATGTCTGCCTTCAAACTAAAAGCATGGACATGGAATATTTTATTTTTCCGCGATGTTCAGTGTACTAAGTAAATGAGTGTTTTATTCTTTTTACTAGGTTTGTCTGTCTCAGAATGTGAACACATAAGTAATTTAGAAAATACGAAAGGAAATGAAGTAAGTACTCTAAGAAGAAAAGTTTCAAAAAGCAAATTTCTATTACTCAATTTAATTTGGAATTTTAAATTTATATTTTTATTATTACAAGCTGAATACCCGTATGTTGTTATGAAAAAAAAGAAAGAAAAAACACAGCACAATCATTCACAAAACTGAAAAGCATTTACAGAGGGGTGACAAAGTAATGTAAGGACTTCTATACTAACTCTATTCGCGATCGCAACGCTCGAGTACGCCGTCTAGCGGGAGCCTGTAAATATCGGACATTAACTTAATACAATCACATTTTCTGCCATCAAAGTCATTGACTGAATCAGACGCCATTTTTTAGCAGCAAATAAGAAACAAAATTTCCCTAAGGAAAAGGCCGAAGAACTTGAAAAAAATCTCCAGAATATTAGTAAATCTTTCAGGAACAGAACACGCCAAACATTTGAAGAAAAATTCCTCAATAATTTTTAATTTCTATTATCAACAAACTTGCAACTGATGACTTCCGATTTCGGATACTGTTACAGATGTGTGTATTAAGGTAAAATGCATTTCTTCTGTCTTCAATTCATTACGAATTAAAGTGAAGTCAACATTGCTTTCGTCATTCCAGTGAATAAATATGAATTCAGAACATACAGAATTGTAATAGTTATAGCATATTCTTCTTCGTTATAGAATAGTATATATTTCTGTATCCATATAATTCGGAAAACAACAATAAAAAATTATCCAAGTTACTTGAAATAGTGCCATTTGTGCTGATTCTTAATTAATTTTAATCGTTTTCTTGGTAAGTATTTTTTAGTTTTGAAAGAATAAGTTCAACTAGAATTCAGCTATTCTGTTTTTAGCTACATATTCAAATTCATATCAATTATAAAATTTTGCTGTGTAGTATGTTATCTAAAAGTAATGAAGGTATAAACTATGTATCTATTATTTGAGAATAAAGTTTTCAAACAAGGAACTTATCATTTTGGAATTCTCCGGGAATCATAAATCAGGTAAGTGCAATGATTTTTACAATAAAAAATTTGCTTGTAAATATTTTTTTTTCATTTGATGATGGTTCTCTACAGAATGGTTTTTTACGTCTGATTAAGAACTATAAGAATAATAAAAAAAGAAACAATATGAAAGTTTTTATTTCAATGTTAAGAATTCTTAAAATCGTTTTTTTTATCCTAAGAATTCTTTATTTTCCGTTTTTTAGTTTATAATTTTTTGATAAAAATTGTTCTCAAAATACTTTTTTTGAAAAATTAAATGGTATAACATTATGTGTTTATGTATACTTCTTGTATATTCCAATGTTTGAAGTAATATGATTCAGAAAAGTATGGAATAAAAATTCGGTACTTACGTATTAACGCCACCGCCGCTACAGATTTGGCGGTTTTTAAGTGCCGCCAATCTACACTTAAAATTTTTGCGACAATTCATAAAATAAAACACTTTATTTAAAATCAAAATAGTCAATCGGATTTCGGTGGAAAATGAGCCGATATAGAGTTTAGCATAGATTCAAAACAATCATATCGCCATATGAACTCTGATAAATAAGATTCCAAATGAAATAACATTTCCAAAACGTACGTTTACCAAGATAAAGTTTTATGTTGTGGGAATTGGTACATTTTCGTTTTTTCGGTAAAATATTTCCCTCCTGAAAAAATAAAATTGCATCTTGTTTTGTTTTTGGCAAATCCCAAAGACGAATTTTCGTAGCACTAAAAATGGCGACAAAAAAGAATTGTTTTTTTTTTTTTTTTTTTTTGTTTCGTCAGCATTCTTTATTTTACGTTTCTTAGTTTCTAAATAATGATTTTTATTGAAACTTGAAATTTTTTGATAAAAATTGTTGTCAAAAAACTTTGTTTACAAAATTAAATTTCATAAAATTATGAGGCTTATGTATACTTTTTGTTCATTTTAATTTTTGAAGTAATATGATTCTTAAAACTATAGAATGTAAAGTTTAAATGGGCCTTTCATGTTATATCATTAAATTTAGTAATACTATTTCTCGGGCATTAGGTTTTAACTCTTATAAGAATATACATATTTTTTTCTGTTAATGTACAAATATTTTTCCGATGTGTTTTGGATATTCCTTCTCTAATAAAAAGAGATACCATTTTGTTTTCGTTTGCATAAGAAAGAATATCAAGCATTTTTCTTTTTTAAATTTAATTACCCACAATAAAGAAGGAACGTTGCAATCTACACGCTACATTAAATACTACTCTAGAGTAAATGAATGACTGTTCATATAGAAATCGCAGGTATTAGTCTCATACAACAACGCCCCCTATAGTTCGTTGCGATCGCGAATAAGAGCAATTTTTCTTTCAATAGCAAATATTTTGGAAGATTTTACGTGGCAAAACTATATGCATAATTTGAATAATCATACTTGAATCTTTTTGAAGTGGTGTCCTTTTTAATGCGAAATTTGCATCGACCAAAATAAGGAAAGGAATTTAATAACTTCTTTTCTTTTTTAATACCACTATAATTCTAAAAGCATTCTTATATAAATATAAATATCCTATAGATAGATTTCCAAATTGCAATTTCCGCAATAATTTCCAAATTGCCAGTATTAAAGATAGAAAAAAGTTATTAACTTCCTCTTCTCATTTTGGTCGACTCGAACTTAGAATAAGTAAATATTACACCATTTATAAAAATTTCAAGCACGATCTTTCAAATTTTGCTAACAGTTTTTACCAATCTTCCAAAATATTTGTTGCTAAAAGAAAATATTAGACTAAATTCAAGTACAATAAACAGCGAAAAAAAAATAATAAAGTTTAAGGCAATAATACACAAAAGACCTGATATACAACCAATGATCATAAGAGATGAAAGTTTTAAAAATGTTGGGCAGATCAAATATCATGGTTGAATTGTAACAGAAATAATGATATTAAAATTGAAAAGAGTAACAGATTAAATGTAAAACAAATGTAACTATGGATTAAGAAATCACTTTAAATCAAAATACTTTAAGCTTAAAAACTAAGATAAATATTTGTAAAACCAATAATTATGTATGAAATCGAATGCTGGGCTTGAACAAAGCTGAGGAAAATAAGTTAATAATATTTGAACGAAAAATATCAAGAAAAATATTTGGTGATCTCAGAGCTAGATTATCGCCAAGGCCCAATACTCATGGGCCTGGGGCCCAAACTTTCTGGGGGGCCTCAAAAATTAGTAAGAAGTACACAATATTACTTAAAAAGAAAAAAAAATACTGAAAAAAAAACAGTTTTTCACAAAAAAGGCATTTTTTATTTCAAATTCTCTTTATATTGTGATAAACCAAACTCGCGTAAACATTGCACTAATCAAATTCGAAAGTACAGCTGAATTTTAATGGGTGCAATTTTTACTCCAACGGCTTAGGCAAAGGTAACGAGAATGCACATTCGCGAAGTCTCTTATAAATGATTAGTGTCAACAAGAATTGAAAGCTTATTCTTAACAAAGGATGGGAGGCAACAATCTTTAAAATAATTCAGCTAATCAGTGACTTTTAGCAAAAATCATTGATTTCAATTGTGTGTGATGGTCACCCAACTATTTTATTTTCACACAACATTTTATATTTTGTTTTAATATTTAGATGCGGTTTTCTTAAATTATGCAGTTCAATAGATTCTTTTTATTGTCAGGATTACTCTTCAGAAATATAATTTCAAAATATTTTGTTAGGGGCCCGGAAAATTTTGTAGGCCTTGGGCCTGAATTTGTCTTGATCGGTCCCTGGGTGATCTCTAATCAAGATAATGTTTGGAGAATCCGTTAAAACAACGAACGTCACGACAAATTCAGAAAAACAGCAATAGTGAAAACTATTATTGACTAGACAGCTTGGACAGATACAATAATTTAAACCTAACGAAAAAAGTGAAATTTTGAAAATGTGAAGGAAAAGCGGTAGACAAACACACGATTTCTTGATACAGTTGAGAAAGCGTTCCATGATATTGCGATCAACCGTTAGAGATCTGTAACAGCGAATAATTCCCGATGGAAGAAACTTTCGGAGACAGCCATGAACTGAATCAGGCGGTTAGGCTACAGATGAAGACATGGGCGGATAGTGAATTTGTGGGGCCCTAGGCTGAAACTACTTAGGGGTCCTAATAGCCATTTTGTCAAAAAACTGTTTTCTATAGTGATGTAGATAAGTATATTGAAAAAAATAGGACAATAAAATTTTCTTTTATTTATTTATTTACATTTATTGACTTATTCTTCAAATAAATTAATATGAATGGTACCCCGTTATAAATGTAAAGTTATAACAAGATATTTATTCCAATAATATGTATTAATTTTCGTAAGAAATCGGTC